GCCTCGTCCATGTTCAGTATTCTAAAATAAATACGATGTATTCATCCTGTAAATAAAATATGGGGAGACAGCGGTGTTAATAGAGAAACAATAGCCCCGGAGGTGGATATAAATCTTTGAATTTAGTATATGGATAAAATTAGAAACAGATTGAAGTTGAAATCGAAATAATCACCTAACTATGAGTCTATTTTTACATAGGGATTTTATTTATATCGATGTTATCTGGGTTTAAGAAAAATCTAAAAAAATTAACTGTATAAATAGAACCAGACGCATTGATAGATTGTGAAATTAGATTATGGAGATATGATGTCATTTGACAGGAGTCAGAGAATGATCCTAATTTTCCAGACCAGCCTTTTTTGTTATATGACATTCAATAAGAGAGTAATCACGTCACATGATCCTTTGCTGCCGTTCCTCGTGTTACACTGCAAACATTCGGCGGTAGTTCTCGGCTAGCTACATGACAAGTATTCCTTAAACGACCTCCGAGTAGCGCCCAGACCAACGCTGACAAATTGAAACCCCGCCACTTGATAAGACCATCTGCTCGACGATTTTGGTATACCGCACTGGAGCTCAAACATTCAAGTTCAGCTTTCTACATTTTGCACTGAACATTCGTGAAAAATTAATTTAAAACAATATCGCCATATATTTGCATTTATGTTACGATTTCCCTTAAAGTTCTATAGTTCCTTAATCACAACTGTTTCACTAAACTAACATCTCTCATACTTGTTTTGCTTCCTGACTGATTTCATTTTTCTTAATTAATGTCGTCAAACGAAGCATTTAATACGCTGTGGCTATTAATGCAGATCTGTGAGCGGAGTATTGTGCTGTAGAAATTTATTGTTAAACAAATTCTGACTTGAATTTGATCACAATATAAAAAGCCACATTAGTATAACACGACATAAGTTGTTATTCGATCGGTCGTTTTTAGATCTTGTTAAAATCTTGGTGTAGTACAGTTCCCAGGCTGTGAAAAAAAGGTTCAATCAACACTAGGGTTGTTATCAAATTCATGTAGCCATGTAGACGTACACAAAATATTTTCCTACTCTAACCTATTTGTAAAGTAACAGGCAAATAAACGACTTTATGGGCCAGGATTACTTAGGTATCTTTGTATAGTTTTAAATCAGGAAAATGAGATTAGGGGATATCTTCACCAAAGCAGGCGGTGGAAAGCTCTCAGCCAACGAAGATAGATTTTAATTTAAAAATCCTCATGGACTGGCAAAATCTACTCCAGACATTTCCCAACGAGAAGGAAGCATGAAGAAAACGGGATCAGTGTGACTTTAATACTTATATGCGGGTCTCTACGTGCTGAAATGGGTCCAAGTAGAATTCCATCTGCACCGAACGAAACAGATGAGGCCACCTACTACTTTGTTGCAAAGAATTGACCGATGATGGCCAGGTTGCCACAATCAGACTATAAACTGTTTAGAATGTTTGTGCTGCCTATATAAATTTGACTAGCTTGGGTTATGCTGTGCAAAATACCCTCAGCGGCACGATTTGGCCAGATATGAATGTACACACAGCGTGGCATGCTTTGAAGATAACATTTGAAATCGCACAGACCAGTGACAGAAATTGTCATCATCCGCGGAACGTGTCCCTTGAAAATGCTACATGCCTAGCGTTATCTCACGTCCTATAGCGGAACGTGTGTACAAGGCAACTCGCTGTTGTACACGTTTTGGGAACATCTGCACCGCACGATCACATTTGATTCGATTGACGCTTGGACTAACTGAACAGTCTGTTTGTTTGTAGAATTCAACGAATGGGAAATGTCTCGTGAGAGATGATCTTGTTGACACGTCCTTTGACGGTGCACATGTTTCTTCATTTCGATGCCAACTGGTCTGTGTAAATTAGTGTTAAAACAGCCCATGAATCAAAGCTCCATGTTTTTTTTAACCAAACCTCTTCCATGAAGACCTTTTTAGTATCACTTTTGCTGGGAATGCACAAGGGGAATACCTTTCATTCCATTTGTTTCAATCTGTTTGGGTTTGGTTTTTGTTTCATTTATTGTTTACTTGTACTTGGGGATTTTTTCCCATTTCGGTACCACCTGGAAGCATTCAGTGTTAACACGTGAACATTATATTATTTTTTTATTTTACATCTTCTGACATTAAAAATTGTGATAAATTGAACAGGGGATGTCAAGGAAAGACGAAAGTATATAACCGTCATCAAAATGATGTGTTCAACAAGACCCCTGTGAATTACGTAGACTGTTGAATTATGTTTTGTGAGTTACGCATTATATATTGACCGTTTAAAAAATTATAACGATAACTTTTTTTTACAGTCCAGAGCGCCTTTCGGGCAAGCTTCCGCTTTTTATTGGTCAAATTTATCTAAAATAATTGAACATTAGGTACGAAAGATGAAAGGACTAAAGTGTTAACCTAAAACCTTGTTATCTTAACTAGTTTTATTTCGTTTTACCGAGGATCCTTAAAAGTATGTCAGTCCTCTCCAAACTGAGAAAGTGGACATCTGAATCTGAAAAAACAAGAACAACTTGAAAAACATCCACTGAGCCAAAGCAGGTTTTCTCTTGTGGACAAAAGAAGTATCAATCGCAACATATACTCTTCAAGTGCAGTTCATACGCAAACAGTGGTTTGATGGAAACCTATAGGATTACACACACCTGAGGGCCGGCTATATGAGAAGGTTAAGACGGCCGCACATTCAACATCAGATGCTGGTGAAAACAAAATCACCGGGGACACAATCTTCCGAGAAACGAGAATCGATATCAAGCCTTAAAATCCGTGCGCTGTATAGCGGAGCGCCGTATTGGCGTCAAGGATGGACTATCTCGGTCGGTTCGACAAGCCAACCCATCGGCTACCCTCGAGACACAAGACCAGATATGATTTATAACTTTCGCTTCCTACATCGATCTTGGACAAATTGTTAACAAATTGATGTCCTTTACTTTTGGGACCCAAAGTCTTGAACTCGGTTTCGGGATTGTGTTAATAACCAAAATTATTTTCACCTAGGGCGCCCTCAAGTGACGTATCATCCGATAACTGTGTGCAAGAACTGAGTAACAGGTTTGCAAAAGGCATCGATTTTGGAAGGGTGCTCTTAATTGGTGTTGTGTGGCTTAAGTAGACTACCAGATCTTACCTTATTTCATTTATAAAATTCCAAAAGAGAGCATGTTGCTAACTTGTAAGTTGTAAACATGTTTTGATTCGTTGGCTTGTTATATTGTGTTGTCTGATCATGCCTACGCATAGGCTTTACATATATAATCAGCAACACAATCGTATTCATAAATTCCATGGTCTGCCTTTGGGAGGCTATATAACAATTCATGCTAAATCCATTAATATTCCAGCAAAGTAAAATGAACATGACTTGAGCTCCTCGAACGATCCAATGAGTAGACCTACCAAATGGAATTTCAGCAAATAATGGATATGCGTCATTTTGAAAATATCACGAAATTAATCCACGGATATCAGGGACATTTACTGCAATTGAACTCCGACATTTTGACCACAACATATATGGCAGTTTGTTTGTCGTTGTCATCGTAGTGTTTTACCCTGTTCAAGTATTTCATTCTTTGTGTCTGCTTGTCTGTTTTTGACAAAACTTAGATTCCAGCTTTGTCTATGTCCTTCTTTTTTTCCGAAATGAAATCAAAACGATGGCTTGTTAGAATGACACCCACAGAACTCACTGCTCGAAGCCTATAGGCACAGTATTTATCCAAATGATCTTGTTTCAATTGTACGCCTACATCTTCTGAACTTTGTACGCGCCACTCGTAACAGTAGAATCATTGAGCAGGTTCAATGTTTGCGGCGAGCTGTCCATGTAAGCGCATGGAATGGATCAGGACGACAAGACGGTAATGTGACACGACTTACATTGATTAAGGATCACCCCTTAGGGACCTTCCTAAAAGATACTTTTTTCCATCCCCTCAGACTTCTCTCTTCGGAAAAGCTGATCCTTCAGCGGACAAGCACACTCGGGAAGTAATGCCTAACGTTTATACATTGTATCTTCGTTTCCGTGAATAGCTTTGACACGCGTGTGCAGAACGCGGGTGTTATGCCGGTATAGAGTTCGGTGCTATCGGGGTTAGATAGCATTTGATATCCCGACCAGAAATTATGCGTCATTTTTTTTTAAGGCTTGCCGACGGATTATGATTATGCACGTCAGATGGCTCCGGCCTGACTGTCACTAAACATTGGCCGCTGTGATTGATCACCCATAAACGGCTACTGTAAAGCTCTCTGCAACATTAGGGTTTAACTCTAAACAACTTCCGCGTCTTGGTAGCACGCCGCTGGTGTTGCAGTAAAGAATCTTGCTTTACATATACTTATTTTCGAATTGCATCTCAGACGTTTGAACTCGAACTGCTCGTATTTTTCTATTTAATATGGAAATCGTATTTGAACGGGGAGAGATCAAGCGCATGATATACGCTTTAATCACGCGGCAGCCAGCCACGTAACCGATTCCACCCGCGAGCAACGAAAATGTGGGAAGGTTAAAAGGCTTAGAATGCTCTGTCAAACATTCATGTACTATCCAGGGCATGGCGATGTGACATAGCTTTGCCTGAAGGTAACCAGAAACATGTATTTACAGGATGTTATAACCGTCTGTTCACAGCAGCCTTCGGCTTAGTAAATTCGTTTCAATGTAAGGGAAGTGTTTGTCTGTACCTGATTCCTTAAACAAAGGGCTGGTGACCCCCCTCATTTCTTTGAAAGAATGTAAAGATATTGTTAGAAAGGACCCAAGCTACAAGCAACACAACAAAGTAAACACAGAAGGAATTAAACGATATCAACCATAACAAACCTATACTTTGCCGAGATTTCTATTTGTGTAGTCAAGTTTTCCAAAATCATATCTCTTTCGGAATAAACCTCTTATTAATAGATCTCTCAAATCTATTCCCGTTTTCCTTACAGATAATCCTGAGGATGAATTCTACGAAAAGACAGTGGAGATCGATGGGCAGATTACGACATTACACATAATGGACACGCCCTCTTACGGCCAGGTGAGGAAAGTTGTTGAATGCATTATGCGCCATCTTTAATTTCCGATAACTCCTTCTAGTATCATCTTTCATTCCAGGGAGTATAGTCCGTTCGAAACCACTTACAAAGGTTGAAGACCTTTCAATTGTCTCACTCGCGTCGTGTCGCAGTTCCACACAGCACTGTCTCCATATAGAATTACCATCCAAGGAACTCGTAAGGTGAAAACAAACCCACGTATGTTCAATATCTTGATCACAGAACTCACGTACGTATAGGCCTTGACACACAAGATAGATCGGCGGATACACACAACCCGAACGGAATATTAAAAAGCGTTTTTCTTCTCCTTCGACGGCTCCTTATTAGAGACCTTTGCCTCCGGTTATGAGAACAATTTCCCGTCCAGCGTCTTTTTCGTCGTTCTCATGCCAGTGATGACCTCTGATGTCCGTTGACACGCAGCAGAAAACGGTATATTGAAAGCGAGTTGTGGCCGGAAAAAAAATCAGTTTCCTAAAAAAACAAAAAAAAAACTTTTAAAACTAAATTCTGACTCACAGTGTTCCACATTAATTACTACTAAACCTCCTGATGTTGCTTTTGTTCCATTTATCAAAACATTACAGACACGGGTACATTTAATTCATTTCCCCCCTAACAATGGGATTGAATCGCGTGTTTGATAAGTTTTTTTATGAAAGGACTGCAACGTATATTATTCTGTCATGAGATGAATTGAAATCGTACACTGTCGCTATCCAAGGAAATATACTTTTGAAACTATATTCCACAGGTTTTTATCCATTCTCAGGCCCTGACACTTCGCGGAACACGTTTTGAGTAATACGAAACTATATAAATCGACATAATTTTCAGAAATCGGCTTTTCGTGGTATCGTCATTTCACCAAATGGCGCTTCCTTGTACTACAATATCCACTTGACATGATTATGAGGCAAGAATATGGTCCAGTCAATGGCCATTAAACACACTCGTCTATCGCTCGGCTTTTCCGGAATCGCGCTTGGTGAACATCGGCTACGCTTTTGTTGCATCCTGATGACCCCCGTCTTCCTGGCTAGAAGACTTGATCGATGAAGACCAATCCATCTTAGGTGAGGGTCAGGGTTGGCGCTCTTGGTATTTCCCACCTTGCTTCATCGGTACCTCGCCTTCACCTTGGGTTCCAGTCTACCCAAAAGGACTTTTATGAGGGAATTGACTTGAATGAGACAATCGGGCGGTAAACTCGGTGCCCTTTGTTGCTTCGTATTGCAATGAGCAGTGCAATATTTCCTCCCAAATCCCCCAACGAGCAGAAACACAATGACAAATCAGTGGCGTATCAAGTGGGGGCAAGGGGGCCAACTCATCCTACCCTTTGCGATATTCATACTTTCTTGTGAGGGACAATGAAGTGTCAGCCCCAACTACTAAGAGTAGTAATACACTCCCCTGTATTTTACCATTACTAAGAGTCTAGTATTATGGAGGTCAATTTTCAGTCAAATATTACCACTTTTGCATCTTCAGGCGCATTCTTTGTATTTAAAAATCTATGGGCATCCAGCTCTTTGTGGAGTAAAACTTGATTTTCCCTACCTTCCTCAATCCTGCAAAATCCTCACAAACCAGCTGATGACGTAATTTGAAGTTTTCAAGCTCGACCTCGTGGCTTCGGAGCATTCAGTGATCGGCCCAATCGCATGTGGACCTTAGTCTCAACTTTTGGCACACCTCATTTTGTATTTAACCTTAAGTGGAGAAGACGGTTCCAATACTGTGCCCCTTTTCTGCATGCCACTATAAATTGAAAGGCCTACCAGCATAACTCTTTATGAAGTCTGAACCGAAGCCGGAGACGAGGCCGCAGTTTAGTAAACACATGTATGTGACGAGTATACTCATGAACCCTTCTTCCTTTTTTGTTCTCTAAATCGATGCCAACCTCTTAAGGCCGACTTTGAGGAGAAGGAAGAGCAGTACCTCTCGGACGGCGACGCTTACCTACTGGTCTACTCCGTCACCGACCGCCGGAGCTTCAAGAAGGCCAACGAGCTCCGGTTCAAGCTCCAGCGGACCAAAGAGACGGAGACGGTGCCCATCATCCTGGTGGGCAACAAGACGGACCTGGAGAGGTCCAGGGAGGTCTCCTTTGCAGGTGCGTGTGTAGAGATAATCAGTGTTGTAGTCGGGTCCTAGACAGGTCCATTCACAATTCACAAGTTCGGTCACAAGTAAAGAATGAACATCAACCACGCAAAAATTATTTCGTTCATTTGCTTAGTTTGTGACTTGACTTTGGACTGGATTACTTGTAATTGACTTGCGATGGATTTGTGAAGACTTTTGATGGACGGCACTTTAGCAGTGGTACAGCTTCGAACATTTTTTTTTAACCTTTCCAGTAACGTAGGCCTAGAAGTTGGGTTTTTTGTAAAACAGATTCACGATATTCCTTCTAGTTGATGGGAATGCATAGGCCTATTCGCCTGATGCATGCTTTTGAATTTTCATTTAAATATAAATTCAGTCCAAAATACAATTTTTCCAATCGAAAAGTCAGGCCCCAATCACCATCTTCTAGGATGGGACTGGGAATAAGCGGAACGATGTTTTCTCATGGGCGACCACTTTATTCGCCATCTGGCGCAGTAATCCAGCGCATTGGTCTATATTTGGATGAGTATGGCGTGTCTGTCCGTGTGATTATGGGCAACATTTCTCCATAATGCGCAAATATGACTGGACATACCATAAATAGGTTCAGTCCATCATGCAATAATAGAACAACAGTTTCTCATGTATAGAGAGTTATTCTGACAGCACCATGGCTAGTTGTTTTGCAGTGAAAATGCGCAGTAAAACTATTTAAAAAAAATTTAAAAAAATTTTAAAAAAACACTGATTCTTACATTTTACGTTCCCACGATTTCTTGTGAATGATCATTAAGTAGCTCGATATTTATTTCTAGTCCTTTGTGTTTCTCGTAACGATCCGACAATTGCATCAGCTTGGAATTAATTGACATCATTTTATCTGGATGCGACAATGTCCACTATCGATTTTCCCGCCTTTGCTGCATTAATTCCCGCCCGATATACACGGCACTGGTAGGTGACAGCACGTCCTGTCGATCCGAACAAACAGTTTCCGGTTATGCAAATGTCTTTTAACCCAGGCCAGTCTGCAGATGAACCATTTACTGGTACGTTTCACTTTTCAGGAAGTTTCCAATGAAAAAAAAAACAAATCGATATGTGCTCTACTTTTGCAAAATTAAAGGTAGCTTCAAATCTTTTAAAATATTCGTGGACAGATTTCAAAATAAACGATTCGTAATAGTCAAAATTCCGTTACCAACCTCGTCAATTTTCGTTCTACATTCTCTATGCAAGAAAAAAGGAAAAGGGATCGTTGCTTTTTCCGTCTATAGACATTAAACATCAGCAACGCTGACTAATGAATTTAATTAACCTTTATAAGCATGGCACATGTTTCAGTACACACTTAACGACTAGATGTATTGACGAAACGTTTATTAAACTAGAGACTAGCAACAATCTGTTTGTATTTGCGCTACACTTCACGAACCTTCCCGCACTGATGGATCATTTTGTACCATCTAACAAACACTTGATGGTTGAAAAAGGCTGGATTCCATCAACACTGCAACCACATCGTGCTAAATTCCTCAGTTTTTTTTCTCCTGTGATTGCATTAAGTAAGTTGCTGCTGAGGCGACCTTGGCTAAACCTCGTTGAAAGTCTTTAAGCAAGCTGTACATTCTTTCCCCGTCATATTACCGCAGTTGGTGTCCATCCTAATTTTCCCTAACGCTGCCTGTTCGTCAGTAACAAGCCGTAAATGGCTGTCAGCTAGGGCAAGTTCGGGCGCGAACTTTATACTTTACCATAGTTCTAGTCCAACTTCACTCGAACGTAGGGTGGTTGGACTAGTCGCCTGTTTTGGAACGGGAGCGCCTGGCACGGTTGCATCGATAGTTACCGATGTAGCATCATAAAGCACAACTTGAAGCCAGAATCAAGAAGTATCGTGCTGACTTTTTGACCTGCGTTTGATTAGAAGCGTTTGCAAGGTGCCATTATAGTGCGCAGGCAGAAGTTACGTCAGGAATCCACCACTAGTCAACATAGTGGTTTTATTTTTAGTCTTCTTGGATCTGGTTGTTCAAGGGCAGAGGCTTGTTTTCCTTCGTCCCATGATCTCCTCACCTTCAGGAGAAACATGGAACTTTTCTTCTGAATCAGTGAATAGACCCCTTGCATCTGACGTCACACCTGAGGGCAGTCTTTGTTCCTCTGTGTTATGCATGAGCAGTCACTTTGTACTTTCACTGTCATGTATTTAAATCACAAAACCTGTCCTCATTGAGGGCACACCGTTCAAGGGTCAGTCTTATTTGCACCTTTTGTTTGTGTTTCCTTTTCCCCTTGGTAGCCCTGTACTTTGAGTGGCTTTTAGTCTGGTAATGGGCATTTTTCTCTCTCTCGTTTCTCTCATACACAGAGGGGAAGCACTTTGCGGCCTTGTTTGACTGCAAGCTGATCGAAACCTCGGCAGCTATCTCCCACAACGTCGATCAGCTCTTCCACGGGGTCGTCCGGCAGTTCCGGCTGCGCAGCCGGCTCAAATCCGACGAAGGAGAGGAGGAGTCCGGTAGCCGGGGCAGCATGGACTCCACAGGGAAAGTGGACAGCCCCTGCCGTGGGTCGAGCGTCGTGCAGAAGCGGCGCCGGTCCTCCATGCTGAACCGGGCCCGTGGGGTGCTGGAGCGGATACTACGGCGGAGGAGCGCAGACGAGCCGCCAGGTTACCGCGCACGTTCTAAGTCTTGCCACGTTATGGAAGTATTGTAGACCGTGTAGCCAATTAGGAGGAGCGATTCACAATACAGGGCGCCACCAAAAGTTGACCAGGAGGAGGTCACGTGTCAACCTCACGGTCAACTTCCTGCATTGACTATCAGTTTGTTACCGTCATTCATTTCTGACTTCAGTGCATAACAACAAAAAAACATGTACACAATGATCATTCTAAAATAGAAGCATACAACGGAATGACTACCATCTGGCAATCTCTTCAAACAAAACCAATCTCCATTTTTCCAATGATGCTTTGCGGGTAAAGCAGGATTTGTTCCTCTAATGGCAGCTTCTCTGTATTGTTAATTGTTCTTATTAACACTGTAGAACTGTAGATATATTCAAACTGCATGACTTATGCCAATTGGGACCCTTCAAACGCATGGTGGCAGCATACATCCACAGCTGCTTTCTCTATAATAAGATTGAGCGCCAATAAAAGTTGATACATTAAGCTTTCTTAAAATACCCATTTGTATGAATTATATTTTACACAAGGAATGCTTTTTAAGCACACAAAAAGTGAATCTGCAATTTTCAGACACGGGATAATAGCGTTAGGTAATACAGAAGTAGCCTGAACGCTTATTATGCAACCTATCATGATTTTTCCCTGGCCAATAGCAAATTCTAAAGGAACAACAAAGACACATTTCTACGACAATCAGATCTCGGTAACACCTTACTGCCAAGTCTAAGTGGACGTTGTGTTTTTTTCATGTACGAGTTTCGTCAAGATAGTTGTATGCTTTGATGTAACCACACCGCAAAATGTAAATGCAGTGTTATTATAGCGGAACCAAGGCACAGATCCGTGAGATTAATGTGTTTAAAATTGTGGTTTTTTTACAGCGAACGAGTTTCTTCAAACTCTCATTTTCCGCGGTAACAAAGTACACGCACTGGTATACGTCAACAACTATACGATTTCAGTTGACATTTATTTGCTGCAGGTTTTCGTGTCGCCACCTTCACATGTGTGGAATGTATTCCATTATATAGACTGGTTTATTTCTTGCCTAGATATTGATCAGCGAGCGCTAATGCAATGTAAGATACAGATGTGGTTCATGTGATTCACTCACATTTCGAGGCCGCTATGATCACGTCTGGTGTAGCACAGATGCGGAGAGGTCAATGCAATGACGTCACAGCTCATTACATAGATACTGGCTGCATGTTGTTTCAGCCGCCATATTATGGCGAGTGCTCCATGGTTTAGTCCTTTGGGTGCTCTGAAATAACGTCTGTTCTGAAATTCGGTCAATGAAAGCTGTTAGACCGAATTGATCGATAGAACTGCAATAATGATGATGCAATAGAGAGATTGCTTGCGTACGTGCGTGTGTAAACCAAATCTCCTGTTCATTTTTTTCACGTTTGTTGTTTTGTCCGTCCACCGTCTATCCCCTACTTTATTTTAATGCATTTCCAAAATGAAACCAGGTGTTTTCAAAAATGCAAGTGCATTAATTTAAAAGGCTGAAGAAACCTAGAGAGATAGAGAGAGAGAGAATTGACTCGGAGAAAATTTAGGTTTAGAGGTGAGGTGGAAATCTCAGCTTTGATACTCCAAGAAAAAACTAAAGAATCAGTCAGGGAAAGAAACAGATAATATACGAAGTTGACGAACCTGGGTGGAATTTGAACCTGTATCACAGAGGTCAAAAAGCAGTCCTCTATCTAAAAGACCACTGTTTTCTCGTAAGTCTTTCTTGCAACCAGGCTTTTAGTATTATTACTCCCTTCTATTGGTGTATTTTCGACCCCTGAATATAAATATTTGATTTTACTATTTTGTTTTATTATTCTGATCTTTCTATTTGCTAGCAGGTTTATTACACTGCAAAGGCTTGGTTTTGTATCCTTGTGTCTCTTACTAACTAGGCGGATCGGGGTGGAATCACGTGTTCTAAATGCGTCACTCGTTTGGCATCTGTGGCAATTAAGGTAATTGGCAATGTTAGACCATCTGTGACGTCATTTGCAAACGTCGTGTTAAGCATGCAGTGATAGTGATGTTACTACCCAATCCCTTTAATAACTGAGCACAGTCAAGATGCGGTCTCGTTAATGACGAATGGATTGATGTTAATTGGCTGGACTCGCGATATAAAGACAAGAATTAGACTAATGGATGATTTCCATTATCCGTTTAGATAAATGATGCACTTGCCTGCACATCACATTCGTTAAGAGTAGAAAGGGGCGTTCCCGGTACGAGTTAGGTACGTAACAAGCTAAGAGTAAACCTTTCAAGTCATGAGTTCAACCATAGAGCTGGTGGAAAGGCTCGAGCGCCCTTTCAGTCGGGAACACACAGGCAAGGGTTGGACGAGGTGTGATCGGTCGATGTAGACGGGAAACAACCGATGACAGAGTCGACCGTTGAGTTATCCAGATGCACCGTCACGCGCAGTAAACAAATCAATACAATTCAAACCAAATATCCTCATACATACTCTAGGCATGATAGATAAAATAAAACTTACACCGTAAGTGAGGAGAACCCGTTTTTCAAAGGCACACTGTGGCAAATAACTTGCTTGAACCGTTTTGGCCCGCGTTCTCCGTTACGAGGGGCATAATGCATACTTCTCGTGCGTGAGAGAAATCTGATCTGCGATTGTCAAAACAAAATGTCTTCGTGTGAAAAGTATCGATTCCTGCCGTATAGTGTCAAATCCACCGCCCCCGGCCTCTCCAGTGTCGATAGAAAAATCCCTGTAAACATTGTGATAAATCTTGTTCAGTATTAGTCGTATACCAGCGGGCATATCAGGACGGAACGTGACAGGACTGTGGTTGAGATATTCATTCTATTTCGTGGTTCGCTATTCACATTATTCAGTTTTCCGCAGGCCTGCTTGATGATTTAGACAAATACGGATTCAGCTTTTTAAATTTCATGCACTCCGCCCGTGGGCTTCTGGTGTATATGCTGTTCTTTTTTAAAAACATTTGGAGGCCCTACTTCGAATAAACGTCAAGCAAATTATTTAATTTCTTCAAGATTCTGAATGATCGATACATACCTAATTCAGTTTTCAATCCTTAAAGCATATAGATGAGGTCAACTTTGTCTTCTCTCTGTTGTAGCTGACCCTTTTGTCGATCGATTTGACCTCAGTTGTTTGTTCGCTTGTTAAATTGTGTTTGTGTGTTTGTTGGTTTGCTTATTTGTATTTTTTTTTCAATATTTATAACTTACAGTAAATTATTTTAGCCTGGGGAGACTTCCATTGTTGCTCAACTGCTCAATGGTGGTCAATTTATCATTTGCCTAAACTTACTTCCAAGCTGCTTCAAGATAATGAACAATTCAGATAACTTAATTTCATGAAGCAAATGTCGGTTACGTTCATTAAAGTTTCGGTTCGGATTCGACCCTGATTCAGGGTCAGATTTGACCGGACAATCCTCTTGGTCAAAATGACAATTCTTCGAATTAAATTGACACTTTTCTGGGTCGACATGACAAAGTTTCTTGTCAAACGATGACACCTTCCTGGGCAAAATGACCCGGGGAAATATTTACTCCAAAAGTGTCATTTTGACCCGGAAAAGTGTCAGGTCAAATCTGACCCGGATTTGGGTCGAATCAGAGTAGGACCTTCAAGACTGTTCAATAACAATGCGCAACTTTGTTTAAGTGTTCACCCATGTAAACAGACCAAATGCTTCCAAAACGCCAGTTATTTTTTGTTTTTTTTCGAACGAGATGTTTAAGCACACAACGACCCCTTATTTGAACCCATTCTGTTCAGTCGTAGAAATCTAAGTAAGCGTAAAAGTTCATGTAGAACGTTCCAAATATCATTAAAGTAAACGATATTTTGCACATTCAGTGTGTATTATATATTTAGCAAGCTATTACGTAATGACTGGTCAGACTCAATATTTAATACAGTCTCTTATAATTGTACAGGTCATCACGGATTAAAATCCACATTGTATTTAAAACCCTAGTGTTTCGCCATTATTGGACTTTTACCAATAACTTGTATAAATGTTTTCCCTTATGTTACAGAAATTAAACATATTAAGTGGTGCTATATCTTAAAAAAATAAAGGTATTTGAGAAATTATTTGTAATTACCTAAATATTTCCGCGATACGAATGTAAAGTGTTTGTGTCGGCCTTACTGTGGAATTTGTAAATAGTGTTAAATATGTACAAAAAAATTTCTCTCAAGCATAAAACATTAATGGATTCATCTTAATTTGTATCTTAGGTAACTTTCTTATTTTACTTGCTTACACTGTAATTGTGACTTGAAACAGTCAAGGCAATTTAATGAGGGGTTAATAGGACTTATTAGTGGACGGCTACAAACCAACACGCCTGAAGGAAAATTTCTCTAGAATACAATTTAACTGAACTATAAATGAACTGCATAATTTAAAATTTACGAACGCAGTTAAACCGAATATATACAAATCTTATTGAATATTTATCATTGTAATTATCATTGGAATATTTATCATTGTAATTTTTTGAATTATTATTATCAATATTTTGTCCTATTGTGGGTTTTTTTTTATTTCGCTATATTTACAAAATATGAATGCTGATCGGGACAAGGGTGATTAAACTCTAAAATCATTGAATGAGAAATTAACTTGACCTAGTTTTGTTTTCTCGCTTGTACCATTGCAGCACCATTCTTCATTTCTTTACTCTAGTCACGAACTACACGTTCTCGTTTTTTCCGGATCCCTTTAACATCAGGTGAGGTGATGCATTGCTTCGAAAGTGTTTATTTTTTAAGAACACTAACAGCATAAAAAGTATGTAGGTTGACAAATTCCCCCTTTTTTTCCTTCGTAAGTAAACGAGACGCTCCATTCTAGAAAGCCGCCACAGGCTCTCAGCCTGATTGCTTTGATTTTGATTTAAAAGAACGCGGTAGCGTGAAATTGTGTGTTCGCACATGAACATGTTGAGATGGCATCTCGGCGTTCCACGCACGATAGACATGCAAATCCGCTTTGGTTTCTCAATTGATTCAATCATTCATATTTCATCTTGACGCTAACCATAGTAACGCGGATTTCATGGTTCGATTTGCGGTTGCCGGGGCAACTATTTGATACTGTGCACAGCTGGATGATGCTGCTTGCGTTGCCATTTCGGTCGTCATTCTGGGCTCATCCCTTTGGAAGTTTCGAGCCGCAAAACATTGCCCCTGGCAACAAATGAATCTATAGATCGCTTGGAACATTCTTTATCTGTATGGAGATGTGTTCGCCGAGAATGAAAGGAAATTGTCGAGAATACATTTCTGTTAAGTTCCGAAATAGTATTGATTGTTTCACTCAATGTACGTATCACGGTCATCTTCGATAGAACAAGATCCAATTTAGCGTTCCTTATTCCATCTCAAAATACGACTTGATTCATCAACGAGTTTCCAAGTGGCACTGCTTTATCCTGAACATCAGCTCAGACCTTTCTCCTCCCTCATTAAGATCAACGTCCTCCCCGCCTAATACCCAAAAATGAAAACACGACCTTTTGGCAGCGAATATCTCCCCCGATTTAGACGGGCTTTTATTAGAGTAGGGAGATTAATGTATTTCGCCGTGTATACTCTGTAAATAATTACGGGGAGCCGGCAGCCTTTTTCCGAGCAAACGTCGGCGGCATTCTCCTTGGATTCCCGGACGACGTGAAGGTGCTCGCTTCAGCAAGTGATCCAGGGACAATAACTGAGAGGCTTGAGATCCATTTATCAACAGTGGTCGGAAGGAGGAGGAATGAGGGCTTATAATAAGGAGTGAAGAGGCGGGAAAGGGTGGAAATGAATGAGCAGGAATGCTGGAAGGCAGGAAGAATGTGCAAGGTTTGGTATATTAAAGGTGTACTATATAAACCAAGCCGGGCACGCAGTCAATTCTATCACGATGGCCCCCTTCAATGGCAAAAACATTGTGCTAATCATTGTTCAGAAAATCCGTCATTTGGGCAGTAGCAGCTTGGCTCAATGCTTTCGCCATTGAAGGGGGCCTCATGTGTGTGTGTGTACGCTGATTACGTGCCCGATCTTTGATCCTTGCATGAACAAAGAATTTGATTCTTGCATGAACAAAGGAGGGCGCTCTGTCATCTGGCAGCGAGGCCCCGTGTGAAGTATACTTGCACTTTGCTTGTTCGAGTGCGGTGTTTATCATTTATTTACTCAACGCATGCCAGGCTCTGCAGTTAGAGGAGTTTTGGTCCCTGAATTGTTCTGACTTTCAATAACTATGAAAAATGGAACCAGTCTAGAGAAGCGTTCTTTATGCTGAATATTTAAACCGGCGTCAGTGGCGGATCAAGGGTGGTGCGGAGGGGGCGCTGCCCCCCCCCCCCCCGGCAGTGACCAAAATGTTCTCAAATTAGACCATTTTCCACTTGTGAGAGCCCTTCTGCCCCCGGCACAGCCTCAGCCCCCCCCCCCCCCCCCCCCCCGCAGTAACATCTCTGGATCCGCCCTTGGCTATGACTGTGGTACAACCGGACCAAGATGACCGACACCTGGGAAGGGGAAGAAGAGGGCGCTATTCATCACATTTGGACAGGCTATACTGTTGGTTGCGCTTTGCAGGCCAGTCGATAGGCCATTATTAGAGAATGGGGACCTAGTAGTAACCACACCATGTTAGGGGTATAAACGAACCTGAATTCAAGGTTATTGGCGTAAGTTGTCGCTACAATTCATTCAATACACGTGATTTTTTTAAAATGTTTTTTTGCAGTGGGAGCAAGGTCTGAACCAGACTCAAACTTTGTATCTTTGGGGAAATGCGATTAATATCTCTCTATAAACCGGCGATAGGATTTAGGACTGATTATGGGCGTGATCAGCTTTGGAAGGAAAAATAGCCCTAAAATCATCGGTGTCCCTCCCCCCCCCCCCCCCCCCCTCCCCAGTTGAACGAAAAGTGGACGAGGGTACGGGAAAATGTACTGTGATGTGTGGCTTGAACAGCTTGGAGAGTTTGGATTATTTTCCCTGGTTTTTTTAAGTGAGCATGCTGTTATTTTTCACAAAGCTGGGACGGGACATATCGCAAGAGGGCGTTTTAGAATATGCTTTGGCCATGGCAGGAAAGAACACATGCAGCTTTGGAAGCGGCTGATTCTGCTTTCTCATAGACGCGTTTGTCATTGTCGACCGTAGCCAGGCACTTTTATTATTAACATAAAAGAAATGACGATAATACGTTTCAGCTACTTTTCGTAATTGTCAACCCACTGACCTGGCATTAAATTAAATCATTTAAAACCCTGAATAAATGTCCGATCATGTCAATCTTCCACAAATGTTGGTCTGTGAATGAACTTTGAGAGCTTGTTAATAGTTACATAATTGCCGCTTTTGTCTGTTTCGTGGGTTAAGCACCTGGCCAACCCCTTTTCTTACAAGTCGTGGCATTCTTGAAATGTCACCTGCCATTGTTGAGGTCTTGCAATCCAACCATAGAACCCAGACGCAATGAAACGAGTTACACAGTGTAAACAACTTGTCCCTGCATAGTCTAGTAGCGTGTAAGGCTGCGAGAAACTGTCAAGTATCATCACCGAAAATCCCACTCGTGGTTCGTCACCATCGACAACATGTCGTTCTGTGTACACCCACGTCGACAGAAGGTTCGCAAGCGCCGCCTGCAGGCGCGGCCGGCCATGAGTACGGTCATACGTCTGTCGGTCATCAAGAATGTCTGCGCCCCAAGGATCAGGGATCTGGTCCCCGGTGGACGGTCGGCCTACAAATGTGAGTTTCTTCTTGTGCTGACGGTTTGTACTTTGGGGGGAAATGCATGTCCAAGCTAGTATAATACTACGCTCAGGAGGTTCCTCTTGGTGGCAGATCGAAAAACAAAATGGCTTAAAACAGTTGCCATGTGTTAAACCCATAGAGTATCCACTACCACATTATAAGGACAAGAAGCAAAACGCAAAACCGAACGGCATCTTTTTTTTAGCCCTCTAAAGCAAAATTGTAATAATTATAGCAATCAATTAATATCAGGTTTCGAAGTAGGGCAAAGTCCATTGCACTTGCAGATTTGGTAGATCGTGCATTAGATGCAAGTTTTCTATAACTCACTCAAGAAAAAATGACGCTCTAGAGGAGTGTGCTAATTTGATTTCATTGAGTGTCTCCGATGTCGGGTTGTTTTTTTTTTGGGGGGGGACTAAAATTAGCCACGTCGCGCAACTCCTTCAGTCTGTTTGGTGAATCATTGTTCTCTTCGGTTTTAATACCTTTGTGTATTGAATGTTATACCCAACCCTAAATATCAACTAGAAACAAACAATGAATGAACGAAAGTGAAGACCACTTATCAAAAAGCGTGCTTATGATGCACAAAGTTGTGATAATGGTCGATCGAGACGAGCGCCCTCAAGCGGAGCATTTGGAGCATTCTAGACAGCAAATGCCACCCCTGAAACTACGCGTACAACTGATTGCAGCCGTCCATTTACCAATTAATAGATTGACGTGAAGGTTGTGGCAAAGTTCTAAGAAAACATTGGATAGGAAGGATCAAACTGAAGTTTGTGAGGGAAATTGAAACATTGAACCTCTGACTTTTTAGAAATAGATCATTCAATTCATTCATTTTTGTGCTGGTCCCAGAGGGCCAACCTATAGTCTTCTCAGCACCTGACTGACTGACTGACTGATTATCACTTGTGAATGACACTTGCTTAAGCTTTACCCTGGGCAAAACGTTTTGACTCAGATAACTACCTAGACCACTTACAGCCTAGACCACTTGGAGTCTTCTTTTTTAGAAACATTTTTTACCTTTTGTTCCACGACTCTAGAATTTAAGTGCCTTCTAGACACACAAACAATAATAAGGCCTATCCTGCCAAAGTTAAAATGGTTCAAAATCAACCGAAAACATGAAAATCCGCCCAAAGCCAGATTACCAAACCCAACGTGTCAGTGAGCATAATGAGCGGTGTTGGAGTGGGAGACTAAACATTTACAATGTGTTTTTTTTATTGCGGGTAAACGATAAAGCTGATGTAACAAAAACCGTACAGCTGTCACAATCATCACTGAAAAAATACCTCAAGAAATACAAGCACATCAATATCACGAAAATGTGTACACCGAAAAAGTGGCAATAAAAGACAAGAAAATGTCCCATGTTATACCTAAATAATTATATCAAAATTATTCAACTGAAGAATTATATTGATGGAAGAATACAGCACCTTGCGAAATAACTGTCCCTTCTCTACATTATCAAATGTATATCATAAAAAAACGAGCAAAGGTCATTTTTTAACCGCGGTGTATTTATTTGAACTTCTGTTTTGTTTACCACAATCGAAAGTCAATATCATTCGTTTATCTTCTGCCTTATATCTGCGGGTCCACGTCCCAGCGTGTCGTTAAAGCAAAGCCGTCCCGAGCCAACGGCGAGAGCACTTAAAGTTCAGCGCCTTGTATAGACGTCATTTCAGCCGCCTGGTTTTCAAAACCCCCGACACACATCGTGAACTATCCAGCTTTGTTGCTTTTTCTTCTCCCCGGTCCCCCCTGGGGGAACCGTCTGGTGAACTGACCCTTCTGGTTGTCATGGTTACCACGTGAAGGATGCGGTTACCGGCATTCACCGGCAGTATCTCTTCAGTTTCTCCCTCTCAAGTAATCGAGCAGTGCTTGCAGTGCGACACGTGCACACGCGTATACCAGCTTGGCCTCTATTCACATGCTCCCTACGTAGCTCGCAACGTGCATATTGATCGCTCGCCACGGAAACAAATTACACAGTCCTCCTTACCTTCATCCGTTCTACACGCAACGCGTTATAAAACAAGAGACAGCAAGTAAAAAAAAAAACCTTCTCCATAGCAACCAGCCTAGCAACTGTTTCAAAATGCATAATATGTCAGTTGTGGAGAAAACCATCATGGCCGACGGTATCGAGTGGAGATACATCAACGACGGTGAGTGATATTTAGCCCCCTAAAATACATCTTGATATTTGAAATCGGTAATAGCAGCTTGAGCGGTATATCAGAGCCCGAGATCTGTAGCGATAGACGGTAAGTGATGTTGCAATAGCGCTGTTGATGGGATGAGGTTATACGGAATCCAAAACCCTGCAGTGCTGCATCTAGAGCGCGTTATGCAGCATCATCCCGTGTTATGCGATACCCTCGGGTTATACACTAGTTCACCATTCGCATTGCTCCGTGTATATACGGCATAGCATCTCGTAAGCCAGTGTAATATTAACTCACGCATGCATAGATCCACACTGCAGTGAAATCAGCTGTATTTACGGATGAATATCTCGCCCAAAATCAATACAGATTCTCGCTTCCAAGTTGACGTTCTCTGACTTTTTAAAGTCCACCTTGCAGGGTTTGGGGACATTTTTTAAGGTCCAGAAACCAGGGGAAAATGAAAAACAAATATGTTGTATTCAGCCTGTACGTGTCTTTCTGGGCAAATCGTGTAGGAATTAATTAGCATGCCTTGTGAGTAATGCGAAATGCAATTATTTCGCCAATCGCGAACAACCAGCTGAAATGACAGTTATCTCAGTGTATTTACATTAGAATTATGCATGCATACGCACTATCCTCGCAGCGCATAATATGCCTACTTGAAGTAAGCCTACGCACTACACTTGATTAAGACTATCAATTAATACAGTGCACACTCATTGACCTTTCAAGCCTACTATACATCTGCATCAGTGGAGTAGATACTAGTATACTTAATCAGGCAACAATAAAAACCAATGCATTTTTTTATTAAGTTCAGATGTGCATGGGGCAGGGCCGGTGTCATATGAAATTTTGACACCTATAGAATCTGGTCCCTTTTACCTTTATAACTCTAACCTCCGCACGTGACTTGTCACTCATCTAATTATGTTTACTCAGGCATGCGCAGTACAACCAATGAGTCCGTTTTTTTCACGGAGTCCAAATTTCACATTACACCGGCTACACTAAATCATGTCACAAATATAGGCCTCGTAGCTAGAAACGTTTTACCACATTGTTCAATTACTTTGTGAGCACACTTCTATATTTCAATTCAATATTTCTCTCTGTCTCTCTAAATGTTAAAGAGCAAATGCCACTGAAACCTTTATTTTGACAAGCAGTGCAGAGAAAACACAGCCAACCCAACAAAGACCGACATTTGACATATAAATTTTTCGAGCAAAATATTTACAGATTGCATTCCTTGCGCCTGTATATTTATAAATACTGGATTGCTTTCGTTGCATAGAATGTTTTCAGAGAGATTTCACGTTGACAGTAAAAAAAAAATGGAATTCTATAGACAAAACAAGTTACTATTCTGAAGATAGTACTAGATATGTAAGCTATTATGTTAATACTATATCTTGACACCAGACTACCAGTACAAATATAATTTTAAGCATTGACAAATTTACATTAGCAATAATTGACACTGAACTCGGCAAACTTATTATTAAAGAGGCCATAAAATAATTGAATTTCACATCAAGATACGTTCACGCGAAGAATTCCCGTGTATTTCAATATTATTCGGGTTTCTTTTATCGCGGCATTGCAGTAGCTTTGTGTGAATGGCACGTATAGGCTTCGTGTATTTAAGGGGACTTCTTCAGCATGATGAGCCCAACATCTCATGTTGCAAATAATTACACGGGAGTATATTGTGACTTGTATCACAAGCAGGCTGTAAGAGACGACCCATAGGGCTCCGTTGCCAGGCAACGCTGTTTGGCGCAAACGACAGCTTTATTCACAAATTAAATCAGTGATTTTCTCGTAATGCAGGGTGTGTAGCACACAATAATGATGAGAATTTCTATGTGATGTCAAGGGCAATATCAACCGTCGCGCTTGTCGTGTCGTGTAGCCTGGTATTGTGATTTATTCCATCTCAATCGAGAATGCAAACAATTTTACGAATTAGTATTCCACATTTTTGTAAATCACAGAATTGATTTTATCGTTTGTAAAAAATATTACTCCATAACAACCAGTCTTTGAATTCATTTCTATCGGAACTATTGAACCTAAAAATAAATTCTTCATTAATTTCGGCTGCAGCAAACTGAAGATTACCAACAAAAAATAGACATGCCCTGAAATGACAAATGCTCGTTTCAAACAGGCGTACGGGAATCACTCCAATCCAAAAGGTACCAGGTGCGACTCAAGTTGACCAAGCAAATGTTGGTTTCAGACACCCGAAGATTATAAATTAATGTGCCATTAACTGGACTCTTCGGTTATTCCCAATGACCGAAGCAGTACATCTTTCGACTTAGTCGACTTATAACTTTACTTTTCATACGTCGAACGTTCAAAATGATCATGATAAATAATTGTTAGGAATAATTTAGTTCCTGCCTAGGAGGCTAGAGCTGCGCCGCTTGTCACGTTTGTCTTGATGATGTCGGGTTCTTGCCTTTACTTGAGACAAGGTACAACCCAGGTGTCATAAAAGGTAAAGTGTGAATTGGTGACTGACTGGTCGTCTGAATGCTACATGGATAATAATTCAAATCTTTGGAAGCTGAAGGATGCGGGATTTTTGGTGAATATGATAGCGTCTTATATTCATGTCAAGGGAAAAGTCATCTCAGCGATGATCTTCGGCCCAGCCGCTAGTTTTTTCCCCCATGATCTTTGTTCCGTTTCCGAGAGACCTATTTTAAACTTTCGGTCCAAGGTAAGGCTTAAGTAAGTCTAATTCACAAGTGACAGTCAGTCAGTGAGTCAGTCAGACGCAAAGAGGACTTTTAGCTGTGCCCTCTGCGACAGCCAAGAAAACGTTCTGTCGCCCTTTTCATGAACTCTACTCTTTCCATCACCCAAACATGTCTTAAAAGTCACAACAATCACCAGATTTCCTCTCCCTCTCTTCCCCTCTTCTCCTCTTCTGTCCCTTCCCCTCCCACTTACAGGTACGGCCGAATGGGGTCTCCATTTCCCCGAGGCCCGCGGGGATTGTCAGTCCCCCATCAACATCAACTCCCGCCAGGCCGTGTATGACAGCACCCTGAACAAGCCCAGCCTGAACGCCGACTATGCGCTGTGTCGGGAGTGCGAGATGATCAACACTGGTAACACGGTGCAGATCAGTGTCAAATACAAACCCGGTAAGTCAGATTCTGATTTGTGTTACTGGCTCCCAGCATTAACAGGCTTGGCCTAATTCATGGATGTGCCAAACAGAAAATCGTTGTTCAGCAAAATTTGCATTGTTCATCACAAGTCCATCACTGGTCAATCACAAGTCATTCAGTCCCAGGCAAAGTAAAAAATCGTATGTAAATTTATGTTTTGTGAACAGTAAACAAATCAATTGGTGAAAACGGCAGAATTCCAGATTCATGTCACAAATTTGTAAAGTTATCCCCAATTACCTGGTGTCGACGTTTCTCCATTGTTCACCTAATTATAATGGTTTCCAAATAAATGGGCAAATCGGGTCTGACTTAAGTTTTTAGTCGGTAATACACCAACATACCGTCGGTGTTCACCAATAAGTCGAAGTACGCTCTAATGCTATAAAACATATCAAATTGCCCTCATATTTGCATCGAGCTGTCAAAACCTACTTGTGACTTTTTCGACAACAGAGGGCGTGATCACAAATAACGGCGCATGCAGATGCGCTTGTCTGAAGTCATCTTTCTGATTCGTGGTCTAAAATTACATCCGCTTGCCGAGCGATGTAACAATAATTGCCTGAAAATGATTTACTATATTTCTGCTTTTTCCTGTTTTGTTTCGCAGACGGTGTCATGGCAGGCCTTGGGAAATCGGAACCGCCTCCGAGATCAGGTAAGCCCCACCTTTATATAACTTCCAATATAAAAACAGCACAGTCCGGCTGTACCTTCGTCGCTGAGGGCGCTGTCAGATGACCCTTCTGCCATACATGTAATAATAGCATGCCGGAACCAACCATACTTTCTCAAGTTAAGACGGTCCCCAGGCCTCCTCTTGAAATTCAGAATATACAAGATGGTCAGGGAACCAGCCTGAGTATTATTTTTTTGCATCTCTCCACCGAAAACAATTGTATGTAAAAGAAAGCAATAATTTTACATTGTCAAATTCGTTGTAGTTTTGAATACTTTACTTGACTTGATGAGGACTGGAACCTGCGACCTCTAGAATACCACACTGTTTGCTCTACTTTGATCAAGTCACCGTTTTTGCCAAACCTACATTATATTAATTAAAAGTAGACCTACCATTTTTTTTTATGATACCAATTGTTTTGTTCTTCTAGTGTTGACGGGAGGCCCGTTGGCACCGGACTCATCGTACGAATTGGCCGAGTTTACTTTCCACTGGGGGAAGGAGGACGACAGAGGGTCTGAGCACACCGTCAACGGCAAGGCATATCCCATGGAGGTAGGCATCATTCTCTTAGACATGCATTCCCTGGAATACATCCCCAAAATGGTGTCTACCTTTGCGGTATTTTCTTTTCCAATCTCTGTATGTCGAATTATGTTAAATCTTCATAGGACTTTTCATAATTAAGTATTCGATTATTCTAACCTGGACTTGACCGAATATGTGTGGAGTGCTGTGGCCTCGTGGTTAAGGGCATTTGATTCGTGGTGTGCGGGTAAAGCTGCAGGTTGTGGGTTCGAGTCCAGCCTGGGGTCATGGTGCGTGTGCCCTTGGACAGGGCACTTAGTCACTCATTGCTTCTCTCCACCCAGGAGTAAATGGGTACCTGCAGAGATGGTTATGTGATTGAATTATTAGCTTCCGTGCGCCTAATAATGGGCTGCATCGAGCTGTATACTCCCCAGGGAGCTGACATGGTATTCATGGGCGTCGCCAGGATTTTTTCTAGAGGGGGCAAAACATATTTTTCCCCAAAAATTCCTGTATTTCTCAACATATTCTCGATTTCTCAGTTTTAGAGCGGGCAGGGACATTTTGCCCCCCCCCCCCCCCCAACTCATTAAATTTACACCACTATGACTTGGCGCCTCATTTTCTTTTCTTTTTTTCTCTTTTTTTCCTTCCTTTTTTCTTCCTTTTTTTTTTTTTTTTTTTTGCTTTTCCGGGGGGGGGGGCAAGCGCCCCCCTTGCCCCCCCCCCCCCTCGCGACGCCCATGATGGTATTTGGAATGTTTCGTGGGTCCAATGAGCAGGGATAAAGATGCAGTCCTGATGGATACGTTCGCTTTATAGATACCCACTATTATTTTTATATTATTCCAATATTTGAGGGGGGGGAGTTCCATAGTGATGAACAGGCCAACAAGCAAGATATGCCTTGTCTTTACCAAGTAGTTAGTTGTCATTAACGGGCCCATGCAGCGTAATTTTTGTAATGCAATCCTTGAAAATACATCTTTGAGCCTAACCTTATTTCAATTTTCGTTTTGCTATTTTCAAGTGGATTTTGGTGACTCTTTGGTTTTTATGCTTATGCGAATTTACAGATTCATGAGCAAAAGTGTAATGTCATCTCTAACAGAAACACTTGTATGTCTATTGCAGCACCACAACTTGGCAGAATTTTGGACATTTTGCTGTCATAACTTTTGTCTGTGGTGATACGTTGTGTCAGTACATGGCAGTAAGCCAATGGGCAATCTTTTCTCACAAATGATTTCAATTTACGAATTTCTGGATTCACAATTTGAACAGAAAACCCCTAAGCTGAACAGTGTCATCCTGAAATGACATCACAACGACACCGCCCTCTGTTGTCCGTAAAAATCATGGAAATGTTTACATGTTTAAAGAAGTGTACTTTTGAATAAAATTAACCAAAAAGGATGTCATATACTTTTCATACATTTTAAAGCCCAAGTCCATCATTTGCAGCTATCCAAAAAAGTCACTGGCGTAATTATTGTTGAAAAACATACTGGTTGAAAAATAGTAAGGGGACTAAACTCCCTGTGAAATTATCCTTTCTGGCAAGCTCTCATTTTGAAGAAATCAACGAAAGAAGGCATTTCCAACGGTGCTTCTTAAGAAGCACCGTAGGAAAATTTAAATTAGTAGTTCGTTTTGTTATTCGGCGCAGCGCGCACAAGCATTGGAACGACGCACAGGAGGGCGCGGTTGCTATAATTCGTCGGATCAGTGCGCGACATCGCGTAAAGCTGCAATTCAAAACAATTCGAAACATGATTTAGCAACTTTTGATTTGAAATTGAGATCCTAGAATGCTGTTTTTCTCGGAATATAAAGCTGAAGCTGAGCTGAAACTTCATCAAGTAAGTTGTTCAGTATCCTTCATTAGATTTTGAACACTTTTGTTGCTTCAAACGAACAAAATGCACTAATTACAAATGATGGACTATAGCTTTAAGAGGAGTAGAAAGTTGCACAAAATATGTTCTTCAGAAAAATTCATGTCATGGCCCTTTTAAGTCAGGAAAACTGACGAGCATAGGAATGATTGGAAAGACAAAGAAACTTTTAAGTTCACACTTCCTTCGTTTGCCGACTGCTTAAAAGCAGTCGGCAAACGAAGGAAGTGTGAAACTGTGAACTTGCAGGCACTTCGTCAAGCTATAACAATAGCCAACTCGCGCCTGTACATTTCGAATATCCCTATACGAGGAGAGTGTTGCAGTACGGAAAGGTAGAAACATGCATACCGTACCGCCTTCTCACTTCAGTCGCCCGAAACCAACCACCGTTATTATTGAATGGCGCCCTCTTTCGCTTACATAGCCCCCATTGTTTTTACAGGATCATTTATGGCTTACTGCAGCCGTTTCACCGAGCAAAGTCTGGATAATCCCTTAACCAAGCCGCATTCATCATTTGTTTTTAAAAATACTATTTATAGTCTATTTAATGTTCGGAATAAGAGGGGCTATTTGATTTTTTCAGGATACGCGAATAGTGTTAACGGCTTATCAGACTAAAAATCTACTTGCCCAACTTGACACTCGATAAAGTATTATAGCGCCACCCCTCGCCTCTGTCTGTTTTAACCCATCCCACTAAATTCTACCTTGCAAAAAAATGTATCGTGCGCCCTCTAGCGGATGCAACAACGTTCAACCTCCAGACGAACTACTACAAAGAGCGCCATTATGTGTACGACAAAATAATTGAAAATAGGTTCTAGAATAAGCTAACAAATCATTTTAACAGATATTTTTCAGGAACATTAGCTTTATTGAAAATTCCAAGATTTGTTCCTCACGAGATGTGCGAAATGTCTGCAACAGAAACACGATTTGAGAAACCTCCCCTGCGAAATGACTTCCTCGATTGTTTGTCTAATGTACTCTCAAGTAATCTTGAGGTATCGTTATTCCAGGAAAAAGTAAAGAGGTAATCCACAGTACACCAAGTTTAATCTGTTTTCCACTCTTCTTCACGATAATGTTTTTATAACGACCTTTAAAGCCATTTTCTTGCAATCCAGGGTATTTTTGTGTGTGCCAGATTAAGAGTGCATGTTTGCAGAAATTGCGTATGGCTGAATTTTTGTATTGTATCGACGATCTACCAAGATCTGTGCTGTTCTCAGACCTTAGGTGTTTCAATGGCTCTAGGGCCCTGCCCTATTCTATTAATTTTCTTTCTCATTCTTCCCCAAAAAAACCCTTTTTTGCCTCTTTTCCCCCTGAGGACAACAAGTGCAAGTCAGCAGGACAACATGTAATATTTGCTGTCTGTTCCCATCATAATGATTTCGTGTATAGTTCGCTATACGGCCCTACACTTGTAGATCTAATTGGAACACAGCGGCTGGGGGCAGTGTTAATATTGTGCGCCCGAGTGTTTCAGGCGAGGCTTGAGGATATGGCAGTGTTTTATTGAATATCCAAGGATCGAACGTGAGCGCAGCCTCTTAATTTCTACCCCCCGTTCGCTCCCGGGTTGCTTGGAGAGAGGAGGGGAAAAAATCAGTTATTAAAAGTCACTTCTTCTCTATCGCTGGTCGTGCCCGAGTGGGGGTTATTACTATTTTTTTTATCTTGGTAGAGGAGTTCTAGTGCCATGGTGGTGGGAGAATTTAGTTAGGTTCATTTTCTTTCTTGCCTTAGTGGATGTGCTTGTGTTTTGAGAATTATCTGGCCTGGTTTGCCTGGAGTGTGGCCCCAGCTAACAACTGTTACAAGTACGTACTAGGGCATGTCTCACTGCTGGTATGGGGTAAGGTTTGTCGCTCTTCTTGGAGGCGAAAGTACGGCTTAGGTTCATTGATTCTGTTTTCCGGCTTGACCTTTCAACGCCGTACTTTTTAGGTTGTGATCCACTAGAAGGGTGCAAAGCTATATCATTAAAGGGTCCATTACATGCATTTTTCTTAGGAACACATTCTGTGCAACTTTCTACTCCTCTTAAATGTAAGAATACTATTTGATATCCCTTTTTGGTTGATTTTATTAAAAAGTGCACTTCTTAATAAAAAAAAATAATTCATTCATTTTTACAACTGAGGGCGCTGTTGCTGTGATGTCATTTCAAGAAGACACTGTTCAGTTTTAGGGGTTTTCTGTTAAAAGTGTGAACCCAACAATTTGCTCATTGAAAACATTTGTGAAAAATCTTTTTGCTCATATGGCCTTTTGTCATGTCGGCCTACTGACACAACAACGAAATACCAAAGAAAAGAAAATTTACGACAGCAAAATAGGCCTATTCACAGTTCTGCCAACTTTTAGTGCTGAAATGACTGTAACATTCAGGTTTCTGCCTGATATGACATCACACTTTTGCTCATGAATATGGAAATTTGCATTAGCATTAAAACCAAAAAGGCACCAAAATAACCTTGAATTTGAAAATGGCAAAAACGAAAATTGAAAATAAGGTTGAATGGGACACAAAGGTGCATTCTCAAGGATTGCATTTTAAAAATTACATCGCATGGTTCTTCAAGGTTCAACTGCTGCCGATGGTGCTGATTCTGTCGATGAGGTTAGCAGTGGTGATGATGGTGATTTGTCGTGGTGAGGATGGTGATAATGATGACGATGCAGATGTTGCTGCTTGTGAAGCTGTGTTCGCTTGTTTTACAGTGATTTCATAAAAGGCCGTAATAACAGTTTTGTCGTTATGTCATTTTCAAGTACATTTTAGCTTTAAACCAGCCAATTCGACATGATAGTTTATTAGAAAATTACAATATAATTCGCGACGCTGCGTTAAGGCACCGTGAATGGTTGTTATACATGCACAAATTGTATATCCGGGGATTTGAAGTATTATGATGATAAGGAGGGATTTACAGTAAGTTCAAACCTATTTGAACATCATTCATTGTTTCAGTACACTATAAATTATATTTGTATAATATTTCAAATTCAGTCGATTTTAATTTTCTATAATGAACTGTCGTTTTTTTTTTCTCTGCTCAAATTGTCTTTAAAGTGCCGTGAGAATTACGCAGTTTTTCATAGCAGATGGTTGGATGGAAAATTATGGTTGGTGCTTGCCACCTGGAATCACTTGAAAACACATCCGCCGGTGCTTAGGCCGATAATAGCGAGGCATTCAAACCGCGTTCTAGTCCTCCGCCCTCCAAAACAAGAAAAGAAGAAAAAACGCGGGAGCCACTCGGAGGCGGGTTTCACAAAACCTTGATCTGTTGTCATCGTCTGCCTTTGCTTGTGTTGGTTGTATGGACACTCGTCCATCGAATCAAAATGATTCTAGTTTTGAAGTGTTTGTTGTGTTTTTCCCGTCCTCCAACCAAAACAACCTGTTTATTGTGTCTGGAACTGATCGCGAACAATGTTACTACCAGCAAGTAAATTCAAGTGGGTCTGGTCCTGTCGAATTGCGCAAGGAAACGGTTGTTTTCTTTTTTTGAAAGTTATCATTGTGATTCAATTGGAATGTTGCGAACCGACAGGAGGAAAACAAGGTTGAGATATCTCGCACCTGTGTGGCTGTGGGAACAAGCAAAAAAGAGAGTTGTCATTGATGGGGATGTTTTCTGACCGTTTTTTTCCTGTTGAGTGACAGGGATCTTGCCGGCTGACATTGCAACTCGGTTGGGGGAGCCGAATCCCTGTCGTGAGCCTACCCCACTAAACCGCTTCAACTGACTCTGAGGAGTTCTGTTTACACTCAACGGGGTCCGGTATACCGGCCCCCTAAAAAAAGACTGACAGTGTTTTGAAAACATTTTCTGGAAGGGGGATCTGAGCGTGTCAGCCACTTTGTTGTTGGACAAACTGCCAATAAGTTGTCACTGGCGCACCGTGCGCGCGTTGAGCTGAGGGGCGGGCAGAAAGTCGCGCTGGGCTTGGTGATTTACAGTCCACGCTCGCTACAACCTTTCAGCTTCGTCAGCGTATAAGGATTCGACATTTGACCCAAAAGGGCTTCATTGATGATAGCGACAGAAATACTATAAAACCAAGACAGCTCTGCAATAGGGACTTTCACACCTTTCTTCTGTTTAAGCTTCCGGGTTCAGATTGAAAGATTTAGGGCAGGTGTTTGCTCAAAAGGTCACGTGTCAAGTGAAACAAACTTCGTTTCGGCTTAGATCTACCGGGAGAACGCTGTATTATATCGATTGCGTTTCACCTTGTCAACCCATTTAACATTTAGAATGACATTTTCTCGTTGGCTTAACATTGTTCCCTCCCGCCACAGCTGTTGATGACCAAAATATGATTGATACCATCACAGAAATTAAAAACCTTTTGGCATTTTGAAATACGTTTTCTTTTCTTGAAAACTAACACATTTAGAACTATCGCAAAAGAATGAAACGTTTGGGAAAATTGAATCCATCTGAACTTTTGCCCCGGATAATAAAACTCACTTTTCAGTCCGCGCCTTCGCATCTCGTTTTTCAATAGTCTAATTTCGGCGCAACCTTTTCGATCTTTATCCTACCTGACTGAGATGATCAGCAATTGCAATGAAGATCTACAATTGCAAGGGTCGCAAAAGGCTATACGTCGGATCTCAACTGTCATTTAAGACGACGGTTTGCTTTTAAGTTAATATAAGGAATGAAATACGGGTTTTTCCCAATATCAGAAGCTGTTAGATGCAGTAGGCCTACAGATTCGGAAACTACACGGCGTCTTTTGGTTTTTATTTGCGTATTTTTGTGTACATCCTTAAAAGTCCCGGTTTGGTTTAAAAGTACCGGTTTAGATTCAAGCCGGATCCGATCAGATATGACCTGACACTTTCCGGGTCCAAATGACACTTCTCTGGGTCGTTTTATCGGGCCATTTGACCCGGGAAAAAATGTCATTTTGATACAAACAGAAATGTTATTGAGACCAAGAAATTAAATTTTAATTTTTACACAAAAAAAATGTAATTTTTGACCCAGAAGAGTGTCTGATCAAATCTGCGGAATGGTCGTGTGGTTATATGAGCGCCTGGTGCGTTTCCAGTACAGGGCGCGTATGGATTGTATTCTTTGCGATTTTGCCCGTATTCTTCATACATGGATTAGGCAAAACAACTATATTTCAATTTTCTCTTGAAAATTTACTAATTAGTTTGTGTGTATGATAGAGCTACTGCGTGGCAGGAAATTTGTTTTCAATTCCAAGTTTAGAAAAAGTAGTTTCTGGTGATTTTTTTCAACAGCATTAACGCATTTTAAAACTTCTATTATGTATACAATGCCATCCAGCCTGACAACTACGAGACCAGCTACGATACGGCCTAACGCCGAAATATAGGTGTAGGGGAAATGTTTACATCGTGCAAATTTGAGTTGTTAAATGCGTAAATTTTCTTGGCGTGCAAGACCTTGGTTCGCAGCTTGAGCAACTTTAGGTTTGCGAATTGCTTCGCAAATTTACTGTGTAAAGAAAATAATTCAGACAAACAGCCATAAAATATAGCACCAGGAATTTGGTAGTCAACCTATTTTTTTCTTCAAGTGCTTACTATTGCACCATGGAATAGGCCCGGATTAATTGTGAATGGTTTCCGCTTATACAATGCGGTCAAATAATACAAAAGTATTAGAAAAATTTTGTTCTTAACAAAACATAGCTGAAAACAAATCACAAGCAATATTCATAACGTTGGCCGCACCTAGTTTTGCTTAGCAAAAAAATACGTTCTTAGCAAATGTTTGTGTTTTTTTCCCGCTGCAGCTGCACCTGATCCACTGGAACAGCCAGTTGTATGAGACGGTGGAGGAGGCCATGGGAAGAGATGACGGTATAGCGATTGTTGCACTCTTCATACAGGTGAGTAAGGGTGGCATAGTGGTTCTTTCCTCGCCTTCCGCTGCTGTTGCCCGGGTTCGATTCCTGCCCGGGGCCAATTATGTTTTCAGTTCCTACCTGATTCCATGGGTTACCTAGAATATATTTCTGGGGTTTTCCTTCCACCTCTAAAATTGTAATTTCTTCATATTGTCTTCTCTTTACTGGGCACCATAAGACAGACCAGCAGTCAACGTTGGTCCAGAGCGCTTATATGCAGTTGATTCAGAAATGTTTTTTCACTGGAAGTCTTTTCATGCATCTGGTGTTCACAATAGGTCGGATTGAGCGCATTCGTTGGCATTATGGGGGAAATCCTATACAACCGCACTGCCCGACTCCTGTCTCTGTCCCTCCATCAGCCTGCAACCTGTCTAATTCACAGGTGACAGTCAGTCAGTCAGTCAGTCAGATAGGTACAAAATAGGATGGCCCTCTGAGACCAGCAAAACCCCCGTGAACAAAGACATTGACGAGATAAGCAGACCACGATATACCTCCTACTATTCAAGGCTGTAGATTTCAATGGGTAGAGCGCAGATACGGTCTGCCCGAGTCGCAGGTTCAAACCCCGTTCTAGTCACTTTCGTTTTTCGACCTTAATACAGTTCAATGCTCAAGTTTTGATTTTTATGCGATAAATTAACAACTAATGAACTCGGTCCGGAAGGGGGGTCGTCACTTTATACTGAAAATATTATACCCTGCAATGTTTTTGTTTGACGTTGGCAAACTCCTCTGCACCTTTAAGCATGTTTTTCTCGAAACATAGGGCAGACGGTTAATTTGACGCGATCAATGAATGGCTTATGTCACAGGTATCAGAAATGACGCTAACATTCATCACACGCTTTTTGTTGTAACATTCCGTGAACTTTTGATGAAATTGCACCTGTGATTTACCTAAAATGTTGTTCTATTTATTTATGATACATTGAGATGTCATCACCATGGGCAATAGATGCTTTGATGGCAAGTTGGCCAAAACCTTCAATAATTGAGGTGCCAGTTGTAATGCAATTGCGCATTTTTCTACGACATGTATAGGCCTTGTCGTTTTCTTTCAAATTCAGTTTTGGTAAATATATCCTTTTTAAAATATCACTGAAGATAAGAAAAAGACCGATTTTCTTCACTAGAAATTTTCTCCCTCGACTTAAGCTGAAGGTTCAGCAAATGAGAATATTAACTGTTTAACCTTTTCAAAAAGCGCCTTGGCTTTAGAGTGTGCCAGAAGCTGATCTTTCGGTTGAAAGGTCAGAGACGGTAGTCTTTCACTCCAGCCGTTCTGGAACAAAGACTGCACTAGCGACACCGGGTCATGCAGCGGCCAGTATTCCAAGGGTTGACATTTTGGGTTTTGTTGAATTGGAGGATGGAAAATGGCAACGTATACCCAGCTATACATTTCCACTCGTATGATCTTGCAATCAGGTGATTTGCAATCCAGATGACTTCTTTAGCACATACGGCCGAGTGATCGTTAGAGGGCAATGCAGAATACGATTTACCTCTAATTGACCTCCCCTTGAGAAATCTATCAATCTTTAAGCCCAGTTATAAATAAATTTCGCCTAGCGATTTTTACCAACATTTCCAAATATGCACAACCTTTAAAAAAGAAGAAGAAGAAGTACTTGATTTCCTTTAATTAAAAAGAATAGTATCGTGGTTTCTATAATTAAATCTGGGAACGGTAAGAAGGACTTTAGCTGTGAGCCGTTTATATGTGCCTTGAGCATAACCGAAACAAAATCTTAATGTTTTGACACTCGCTGTTGGAGAGGAATTAAATAAGTGACAATGAAGATAATCTGTCTGGTCGTTCCCAACGGTTGTATTTAAAAACTAAAATAAAAACGACAGTTTGAGCAAATAAAGGTCACAGAATGATGAGTATCATGATGATGCAGATTTGTGATTTCTTTCGTCGCCAGGTTGTCTCCCCCATTCCCTTCCCGGTTCCGTATCCCCACACGAACGCGGTCGCTTTCTGTGTGTCCGCTCGGGGGCTCCTGTGATTCTCTTTTTGTTTTGTCCGCGGCAAAACGGGAGAATCAAACCGTATGAAAGTCACTTCCTGCCCGCACCGAGTTGTCAGGAAACACTCCGGCGGGCTTGTTATTCCAGTATTCCCCTCCAAATATACGCGTATTGTCTCCGGTCGTCCACAGCTCGCAAAGAGAGAGACAGAGGTAGACAGAAAAAAGGGGGAATAGTAAAGCCTTAGAATACCGCCGCAATCTCCCCTTTTTGTTTGTAGTCCCAATAAAATATACCGACAGTCAGCCCGATCAGTGGCGGAAGTTCCTTCTAGGTATTCCGCCGATTTCCGTGGTTTCTTTAATAAACGGTCTTAAGAAGTCCCCCCCCCCCACCTCTTGTCTATATAGAAATCCCAGCAGTGTCGTTTTCTCTCTCCGTCTTTTCCTTCTTCTCGCTAATCCAAATAACCTGTGTCTTTTCGTGTCTTGCAGGTTGGCCGCGAGCACGTCGGCCTGCGAACTCTGACGGACTATCTGGAAACAGTGCAGTCCAAGGTGCGTGTTGTGTCCCTAACTGTTTTTGTCCAGACAAGACCTGTATTATTACGAGAAAGCTCTACCTCAACTCACTCATTTACCTCCCGCTCCTAAACTTGCCCCCTTGGGCACTCAGAGCCGATCATAATTATTGGACATCCAAAATTTTTTTTCTCTCTCTTTCTCTGTCCCCCTTTTTCTCTCATTCTCTTCAAAGACTCTGGTCTCAATTCTGTATCTCTTAATTTTCATTTCTTCATAACCCGGGGCACCTCGTGCAGCCTAAGCATGTGAATTGTGTAATTAAATTTTATTTCTGCTTTATACTCTACTGAGCTCAGTGCTAGGGCACAATGTCCTGAGGTTGTGTAGTTCTGCCCAGGGAGGTATTGTTGTGTTTTTACTTTTTTTTTTCAACGAGAAGTGAGGGTACGTACTGGGCAAACCAGCGAGCAAACGGGCGGAGAAAACCCGTTTGCAGCCCGGCCTGGGTCCCGCACGCTGCAGCGTAACGATTGCCAGGCACCGATCGGTGCCTTTCACCCTGCGGGCCGCTAGAACGCGCCACTCTGCACCACCGAGTGTTTACAAGACTCCGTGGGCAATTTTGAGGCCACTTCTTTCCTGTGTGTTACGGGCTACTGAAAGAAAAAAGAAGAAAAACACAGAATGTCAGGCAAAACACGACTTCTTCCCAATTATATTTTTTGACGAAAAAATCAATAGGAGCCGTCAGGCTGGCAGGTTTTTGTTGTTTCCGAGATGTAGGCCAGTGGGGCATTCGGTTCGTAAGATAAAAGAGCTGTGCGAGAAATATTGACGTTGATGCTTCCTTTATGTGTTACTGTGTGGCTGCTGTTATTGCGAGGTCACACTGGCGAGTTTCACTGCAACAACCATCTGCACAGCACTGAGCACACAGGTCACACATAGGCTACAAAGTCGCAATCGTAAAATCCGCAATAATGCCATGGCTTCCAGAGTCCCCTTGGAATATTGAGAAATTTGGGAATTTGCTTTGAAGCTTACAGTCCTCAGATTTATTTTGTTTAGAAGCCTAGCATAAATGTCTATAGATGCCAACTTATCTTGAACTAGGTCCCAACATTCTTAAGTCTTAGACATTTCAGACTGTAAAGGACCTTATGCAATAAGGCAGAGTCAGAGGGCAAGGTTTTGTATCGCTTGGATAGACATGATCGAGCCGTTTGTGCATTCATTAAACAAATTCAACAAAGAGCACCCTCTAAGATAATTATGTATTTAAAATACAGAAGGCTTATGGGTGTTAATTAAGACGAAAGTTTTGCGCCAATGACGCTCAGAAACATCAGTACGTCTATAACAGACAACCGGTATTTTAAGACATCAAGATCATCTTTCCCTATCTGTCACTGAAACTGTCAAAATATGTTATAGATTAAGATGCAGAATAGCAGTGAGGAGAAATCTTAATCGATCGTATTGTACTGACATGGATCTTTAGAGTGCATGCACATTCCAAGTATTTGTACAAATTGGATCTCATCTGAGACGTGTACTTTCTGGAAGAGCTTTGGTTATTCTCCTTGACAATAATATGTGTATGATGTCATCAGTCCTATAGAGAGATGTACAACTTGACCTCACTGAGGTCAAATCTCGCATAAGTTCACTTTGGGAAAACGGCTGTGCATAGATCGGGTGAGCTGAAGAAGCTCAATGGCTCAAAGAAAAGAAGCTTCAGTGGATAAGGTATCCTCTCTTATTTCTCTGATTTCTAATAAGTGAATTCATAATACAGTCCATTTGAAATCGCAGATAGCTAGAGTAATCAGTACGATCAACAGGTAGTTTTTGTGAAGTGCACTCATCAAGTGGGGAGTGGGCGGCAAGACGACTTGTACGAACACAACCCAAGTCTTGAGATGAATATAGAAGAAGAAAGACTCAGAAACCGATAAACGGACAGGCGAGCATCGCATTCAATAACAACGACTCCTGAATGCCTCCCATAATGGCACGTCGCCCGATAGTGAGGGAGAAGAAAAGGCAAGAGCTATCTGTTCCTCGCCGTACTTTTCATCGTCCGGAGTTTCTATAGAAACCATCCCCCGGCTGCCTCAGTCACCGGCCTGTACTTTCACGGCTGTGACATCTGTAATGCGATTCCAATATAACATTCATTGGGGCGGCGGTGATGCAGCTCTAGGAGAATTTTTTTTTCATCTTTACCCCGATTCGCCTTATCTTATCGGCGTTAAACTGCTTCCATTCATCCAGATCTAAGCCATTGTTGCGAGCTGACAGCGTTAGTGAAGCGACTCGTTATTGAGAAGTTTTTTGAGCTTGGGACTCGCGCGCGGACAAACAAACGCCTTCCCCCTCCCCCCTCCATAACTGAATGACACACTGCCACGTCAATTAACCGAATCTCCACAAGAGCATGGTTCTCATTTCCCCCAGGTTTATTACACGATGGTTGCTATAATTCACGGTACCGGTGATGAAAAGAAACGCAGGGCCGGTCCGCTCGATCGAAGAGAGGAGCGACACATACAGGACACGAGGAGGAGAAACAACCCCCACAAAGAACCCCGATGTAAACGATACTTGAGTCTTGTTACTACTCATCCTCCACCGCGGTCTGGCGATAAAAAACGGCCCGGAAATCCTGCCAGTTTACTATGAAATGATTCTCCAAGGGCTGAATGGACGATAAAAAACCCAGGCAGCACTGAAAGCCCAGCGAACAAGGCTTGATCGAATCACGCTCGTTTTTTTCTTTCGCTCCTGACGAGGATATTATGCCGGGGCTTCTTTCACGAGTTCGTTTTCCCCGTATATAGACGGACCGTAACTCTCCCGGGCGTGCGCGTCAATGCGAATTGGATGAGGCTCTTTCCGGCGTTTAGTCCAAGCACACACTGTTAAAAGCGCTCGTATAATGTTTCAAATTGAAATGAAATTAATTTAATCGTGGCCTTCATTAGTGGCTGTTTCTGTTACCCTCCTTTTCCCTCTTCAATTCTCGGTTCAAAGCCCCGTGCACGTCATGTATCGGCCGAGTCCCGGACTCCCTATAGCCACGCCATGGATTGTAACTTAATTACCGTCCGCCTCTACGCGCTGTACCGGGCCATTGAAACCCCGCGATGAGCCATGTTTGAGTTGCAACGTCGGCAGCTAGAAGTTGTAAAACAATCTCGCTAATTTGCTGTTTATTTGATTAATGAGAGGGAAGGGAAACATGCAACGGGAGGGAATGGGTTGGTGAGTAGGGAGTTTCCGATCGAGTAGAAAGACATAAATCCCGGCCAGGCGAGTTGAAATACCCCACTCCCTCCCCGTCTGACTACGGGGAACGTTGCTGTGCATATTTAACAGCTCCTTATCGCCCTGCGTCCAGACGCAAGCACGTCTTCATTTACCGTGGCGATATTTTCATAAGCACGGGAGTAGCGAGCTAATTTCGCCCGGGCGCAACTCTCCCACATCTCCCCTAGACCACACCGAGAGTGCTCCGACTGATTCACTTCATTCAATTACTCCTTATATAAAAAAAGACTCTCGGCTATATCTGTATCGATGACTGGGAAAATTTACAGCTGGTATACTTATACTGTTCTCATTTCCCAATTGTTTTGTGAGGCAGAATTTCTTTCTCTCCCCGAAGCCTTTTTGCTCCTACAACGATAGGACAGACTTACGTGGTCAAGTTTGCTTGTGTCATCAACGCATCTCCACCCACACACCACACAGCCCACAAAAACCACCAACGACAATTAACTCACCCGTCTGTTTTTCGCCCGCGGATGTTCGATACTCGATCCGCAAATTGTACAGTATTAGTTTTTCTTGCCCGGTTTATCTTTTCAAACGGTATCATATCGAGTGTCGCCTATTTAAGTCCGGTCTTGGCTGTTTAGTTTCCGGCAACCTCCAGCTAGATATCCTTGTGAGTCAGATGAGGTTGTTTCGTTTTTAAAACATTGAATGCGTTTTCTGCGAATCATCGCTCCTTTGCGAATCTCCCAATGAATTCCACTACCTCCCCCCAAAAAAGGAACTCGGAAACGGATGTCAAAAGGGGATGCTTACGAAAACAGGGTTGCGTGAGGCCGAACGGTATATGGACATGACCTAGATAAAAAAAATCTTTACAGTTCTTATTAATTTCGATTGTTCAAGATTTGATTCGGTGAGATGCACAACTTGTAGGCCTACTCAAAATATTACTGCCACTTGCCAGTGGCGACTTGTGTCTCGTTTGTTGGTCTAGCTCGCATTTTGGCTATTTACAGAGCAACTTTTGGCTATTCTCACGGGTGGTTGAATTTTTATAAACACCAACAAAATGAACATTGGCTATTCGCACGACACCATTACAATAACACAGCACATTGTGTGACAGTTTCCCTTTCCATCGCATTATAAGGCTGGCATTTGGAATGCGATAACGCTATGTGTGGCACTCACTCATAGACAGCAGCGCCTCTTGGCTTGTAACGTTAATGGCTGAGCAGACTGGAGAACGAGGCTAAGTGCCATTAAGGTCTGTGTATGTCTACCACTTAGCCTCCTTTCCATTTCCCTTCCCAAGCCTTCTGGCTACATTTCCGGAAGGAGAATTTCACAGATCGCCAGATATCGAGTAAGAGCACAAGTTGAAGGTTTAGATATGCCCATTTGTGAATTTCAAGGGCGGGGAGACATGAAAAAAGCAGCCAACGAAAAATCATTTAAGAAAATGTGACGATAGTATCATCCGGAAGCGGTCTTGTATTAAGGTAATGAACACATTTGCAAACATCCAAAAATGAAACTGTCCAAATATCCTGAAATATCCTACTTGATTGTAAGTAAATAGTAGGATCGTGCATTCTGTGAAATCCTTGCGCCTGGTATGCTGTTATTTTCGAGAAAAGAAGAATACCATCATGTCCTTGCGATGGTTATAGGACCAAACCATCACGCTCTTAATGGAAACCTATGTTTTGCGTCGGTTTACGCGTCGAGAAAAATGAAGATGCATTTTCAGAGTTTTCTTAAAAAGTATGGTATTTACTGAGCTGATATTTTGACAGGTTAGATTTTAAATAACCTGCTTCAGAATTATTGTATGGTTGTTCCTTGAATTGACATAGTGTTGTATTGTTGAAATTCCTTGAAACTCCATTATTTTCAACCGTCGTTTTTCATGTTTGTCAAATTCCATATACATGTACACGGAGGCCCACACAGCACAAGAGAGTGCCACTTCGTTTTATTCCAAATTTAATTAATTTAATTCCATAATCAAAAATGCCCACATTGGGATCGTCTTGCGTGCTAGATAACGGGTCATTTTGAAAAGGATACGATTTCATGACATTTAAAGAAATGTCTTTTCGTTTGATGATAGTAAATGCCACGTTCTTTTGTTACTGGCGTCGTAAAATGGTTTGGCAGCATGGCTGGTAATCTGAATTATTATCGTTCTCGAAGTCAAAGTACACAAATTGAACGGACCTATCAAAGAACACATTCCTGCATCAACTTTCCGAAGTATCATTTTTTTTTTTACCATCTCCGGCACAGCCCACAGTCAAATTTAACTGATAATGCAACATTTAAAATAACTTGCCAGCCCGTTCGACTGTTGTTGTTTGACAGTTTGGTTCTAAAGCCCGACCGTAGAACTTCTGTATACAAGTTCGCACGACTAACCTATCGACTTTGCAAACGATCATACCCAAAATCCTCAGATCATCATTGATAAAGTGAGAGTCAACCAACACTGTATGGGTCACGTGTTCGGTTACGTCACGCGCGATGGGTAGTCAAAAGCTTAGGGGTCAACCATAATTATCAACATTTTCAAAAGTATACAAAACGTACTATTTTTGGCAGACCACCTTCCCCTTTTATGATAGATCTTCTGAAAGCCTATTACAAAAAAAATACTGAACCGAAAATATTGATCGACATTTTTACAAAATTTCAAAAGCGTACATGGGTCGTTAATCCCTTTGTACGCTTAATCTTGAAATGTTGATAATTAGCCTATATGGATGACCCCTTACCAGGAACTACGCAGATTCTCTGATCCGCTACAAGCAGACTACACAGCACCCTCTTTTGATGTATGGCCCGATTCGCCCACAAATGTCTTCAAGCATCTATCGTTCTGTAACAGCTAAAATGTTTCACCAACACAGTTGAAGTTGAACAGAAATTGTTTCCGAGGAGGGATTTATTTTTGTATTGATGGCTTTGGCTCCAGCTCGGCTCTCAAAGCCAAGGCCAAGGTCTCATAACGTTCACGTGACGGTCACTCAAGGGGTAAAGGGGACACCATTTTGGCCCGTAGCAGTCTGAGATTACGATTAGAGTCGACAAGGTGTCGACGTTCTTTTACCAAACGTAAGTCACTCTGCGGACTTACTTGATTTCTGCTCTTAAAAAAAATGAATTTTTAGCAAAACTGGTGTTCATAATTTGCTTCCCGATACCTTTCACATTCAGCTTTTTGATAAATACAAACATGATGTGGTTGATTTAAAAAGGGGAGAGGTTTTACAACCCCACTTGGTCAAAGGTATTGTCATTAAATCGCGATCCATGTTGCATGATTCTTCAAAGGCCGCTTATACATCTACGTAAGACATGACACTAATTCAAGTCTTTTTTTCAGTAGCTGGCTGTTTGCCCTTCGAGTACAACAGATTTTCAGGTGTGCTTTATCAAATTTTAGGTATTTCTTAAAACATGTCTTTTTTTGTTAATATATTTTCCTTATATAGGGCAAGAGCATATCCATAACCACGCCGTTCCATCCAACTTGCCTTCTACCGGGTAAGTATTGGTCATCTTTGCAATAAATAATTAGGATACAGATTTCCACACACTAGATTGAATAGGCTATAATTGAGAAGTCGACAATGATGGGAAAGACCGGTCTTTGTTTGTTTGTTTGTTTTTCTATAATTTGGTGTAAACTCGGTGATGTAGTTGTGTCACCGAAGTACGGTGCATGGTGATTTTAAAGAACAAAAAAAACAGGTGTGAATTTCATTGTGTGTCGATTAATGTGATGTGATGCTGGGGACTTACACTTTATCCGCTAACTTGTGCGCTTCGTCGGGTTAAAAGGTTATCAGGTAATTCGGAATGCATTTCCCACGTGTGTGACAATCTACCACCGTGACTTTGATGGCTTATCCGTAACGGGCGGGGATGACATTTTGGCTTTTTTGTTTCCCAAACCTTGTCGGTCCTGTTTTGTACTTTTTAAAGTTCAGCCGTTTTTATGTTATTGCTAACTACACCATTCAACCCTGATTGCTCCGTATGCAATGTGAGCTCCGTTTGTGTGATGCCCTGTACATACATGTATACATATGTACACAACATCTAGTACCAAAGTCAAAAGACGAGCTACTCTGAACTTCATGTAAACATTTCGTTCCCATTCTTCATCTTAACATCCGACCTGACTTGTGATTTGACTTAGGATTGTCTTGATTGAAACTTCGGGGAAAAACTGAAGGTTCTCATCCCTAACTGAAGGTTCTTTCCTAAGCGTTACCGGGTAAAATGGCAGTACATTAATACAGTTTATCATTGACCAAATTTCATCTTGTTGTCTGTGGATGCCTTGCCTTTCAGATCCCATGCTTCGAGATTTCTGGAGTTACCAAGGATCTCTAACAACACCGCCGTGTAATGAAAAAGTGACCTGGATCCTGTTCCGCTATCCACTGACGATATCACATACCCAGGTAAACCTACAACATCAACCAATCCAAATACCAACCTGGTGTATCGACAGTTTTCTCGATCAAGCCTTGGCCTTGTCAATATCGGTAACGGGGACTGGGCGGTCCGTGAAACCTGTTTGGTGCGCGCAGAGGTATAAAGATGGCTACAAAACTTCACGTGATTTTTCATTTCTTTGCCTCGAGACTTGCTTTGCTGGTCTGAAGTACGCGTCTAACTTGTCAAGTCCGCGTAATTAAATTGTCGAAATCACCCCAATTGTTAGCCTTTTTCTCAGCTCAAGTTTTCTGATCAGACGCCATTTTCAGTCGAATGCATCCTTCCTTTATACCGCCATTCCAAGTCCCATGCCCCCTCGTATAAAGGGCAGTTTGTGTCCTTTGAATCAAGTTGTCGTCTTCACTACCGGTATACTTTGGCTGGAGGTTGACTACTTTCTCCATGCAGAGCTCTGAGATGTTTTACTTCTTGAACACGTCCCCAAATTTATGTCAAGTGTAGAATTCCTTTGCTTGCAGCCCAAAGTCAAATTGGGAGGTCTAATGTTATATACTGGTCCGTGTTATACTGGTCCGTAAATCACTTTAAAAGAACCATCGATTCTGATTTCGAGCTTGCCTGAACAATCGTGGTTTTGAGACCGGGTAAAAAAACGGTTTTCAAAACGCCATTTGCCTGACCCTTTCCGAACAGAATCGTACGTTATTGATATGATGTTTGTTTCTTTTTAAGCATCAATAACATTGCTATGTCTTTCTCGTGTAGATGGAAGAGTTTAGACGACTGAAGAACTACCCAAAAGGCAGCCATCCTGCAGCGGACGACGACGGGTTTCTGGCCGACAATTTCCGGCCAACCCAACCCCTGAATGACCGCGTCGTGCGAGCCTCTTTTCAATAAAAACTGCTTCAATATTAATATACATGGCGTTCGTAAGTTTGTCGTTAAACTCATGTCATAACAAATGCGCTTTGGTGTTAACATGCACGCGGTGCCTTGTTGTCTAGTTGTAATATATTTTGTTACTATAGCGTATTTGACTTTCTGTAGCATTTATTTGTGAATATTGTCATGTTATGAAAGTATATTTAATTAAGGATAGGATTAAAATCCAAACTCTTGAGCGAGTTTTCTAAAGGTTTTCTGTGCCACGAGGCTCTGCCACGGGGCGATCGTAGGCTGGTACCTATGACGCAATACATACTTTATGATAAGCCGCATTCTTTGTTGTCAAGGAGCAAGATCACTGAGAGGCCGCCTCATGAAATTCCAGTTGTGATCGTTTTGTGTGGTCAATACTAAAATGTCGAGTGCTGTGCTATGTTTATGTCGAATACGTGCAAGTTAACGTCATACTGTCGTATTGGTGAGGATGAAGTCCCCGAGTACAGTCATTGTATATTGAACAAAGTATAATAAATGCATATTTCCAGAGCCATTATCGAACAAATATTAAAGATTTGTACACGTCACTCGGTGACATTCTCACTTTTGTAACTACTTGAGTTTTGGTGCCTTTTGGAATAGATTTGTGCTAGCTGAGGCCATCGACACGTTTCTGCTTTCTGTTGTCCCCTATATTGGACATGTTGACATTTTGGAGGGACGTTTGTGTGGATTTTGGTGCAGATAAAACTGGGTTGAAATAGATCGTTTGCACCGGAGTCATCTTCGAGGTGTGTGCTTCATTTCAACTTCTTGCTTATTCATTGTTGAAAGTTAATATATCAATCCATACCTCAAAAGATGGCTGCTCTAAAAGAATCCGGATGTTGTGCTGCAGTTCTAAAAGTAGTGTTCACTAACTATCCCAGCATGCATTGCGCAATTATACTTACGCGTGCGCACTCTGTTATTTGCAAAGCGGTGACTGTTTACGGTCTTAATGCATGGCACTTCCGAGTTATATTCTGCAGTTTCCCTTTGGAAATAGGTATCAATTATTAATATGTACATGTATGTGTACATATAGTTTAATTCTTCAAGTCAATCAGTGGCACTAAAAATGCAATTAAAGGTGTCTTGTCTTGGTTGTATCACCAATGTGCACTTAAAATGTCACCTAAAAGTGAAATAATTGCATCTAATGCCCGATAACAAAGCTTATAACTTAAGATGATAATTATTGTCTTGGGTATGTTTGCAGCGAAATATGTCGTTTTGTCGGCTTTTTATCTTAATATATTGAGGTAAATGTAATGTGGAAATGGCTGGGACATTTAATGCATTCAGATATTCAAGATCGTGGTCAATTTCTTTTTCTTTTTCTTTTTTCTTTTTTCTAATCTTCAGTGTAGGCATTCGACAGCTAACATAAACGGCACGTGAAAATACCAATTATATTAGGTGTTTCTTTGGCGTTTATGCATATGAGGCCGCAATCTACGCCGAGTATTGTCGCTTGAGGGCGTTGTGTCTAAAGTTACGTTACTTATTCTCCTAGCTGCGTTTAGGATTATCAAAAATAAAAGACACACGATTACGACCAGGAAAAACTGTTTCGTCTTCTCGAGTATGGATTTTTCCGGTCTGTCTTCAAGTGCCTGCTTTATTAACTCGAGTAGAAGGAGGGGTAAAAGATATTAACATCACCCAGGAGATTTGCCTGGAGGCGAAGGGGAGAACGGGGCGTTGTTGAGATTTCAACTAGAGGTCTAGTAAGGGCTTCAATCGCCCCGTGAGTCAGCCACGCTGTAGGCGAACTTCCTCCGCTCGCCTTTGTCAAGACAATCGCGGCGATACACGGTCGAACCTTGCCATTCGATCTGCCATCAAGTCTTTGACACGTTCTTTTCACTAGCCATTCATATGCAACTATTTCCAGCGAGGAAATATTGAGCAACTATTTTTCTTTCAGGGAGAAATAGCTCGCGATTCCTCGAGGGGATAAAAAATAATAATAGCGCCCTCTACTGAAGTAATAGCAGGTTTTGTTCTGAAAACCGTGAACGTGTTCTGGAGTCTCATGGGTGTAGTGAAATCCAAAGCGTTACAATAATAGAAGATCTAGCTGCATCACTTTCTTCCTCGCAACTTAATTAGAAATTGGCACTGTCCTTTTTCTTTAACAAAAGGCGAAGTCTGTTCCAAGAAGTAACAATGAGTGGTGGTCTAAAATGAGACTTACAACTTGAGTGTCGTACTGTAATATTACATGGTGACGGTGTGTTTGGTCACCCGAAACGTAGGCCTTAATAATTGCAAGATACAAAGACAGCAGCGTAGCTTGCAGATGTAAAACGCTCGAAAGGCTCTTGTTTTCTTGAGTCAAAGGCTGGGTCACGATTTATAAGAAAAGCTGGGTCAAAAAAGAGGTTTATTCACAAAATCTGTTGGCTTTGCTTCAAATGATATCAAGGGACCATGCTGCACACGAATTACATGTACTGTATTTTTTGAATGGCAGGAACATTCTTTTGATTATGAAAACTACTCATTTTAATCCCTTACTGTCTAATTTTTATAGAGGGTTTTAATGTCGTTGATCAATGACATTTATAAGCAAACGTCTTTGATAAAAATCATGATTTCTCATTCCACAAGAGCGATTCTTTCCAGGACAACCATCTCCTCAAACAAGAATGTAATTGTTATGGTGTTATCTTCAAAGTTAACCCATGGGTTCTTTTTCTGCCTTTTTCCATTAAAATTTCACCTCTAGTAACATTATTCCTTTTCCACATAGTCACGATATCAAAACTGATTAAAATTTTCGATAGTCTTTGGCTTGTTCCGTCAAAAATGCTTTCAGAAGACCTTTGCTGCAGTGTTGTTGATAATGGTGGACGAAGTAGCCACTTCCACCCAAACAATTTGTGGTGTCGCCAAAACCCCTCACTTATTCCCCTAAACGGAAACCTACCAAATATATCAATGTCAAACTGCCCACCATCGAGAAATTCATGTGCGACAGCTGCGAAAAGTTTCGCCCAGATCCCAGCATCATGCCAGTCATAAATGCACGGGGTCACGGTGGGGTCAACCTGAGGCCTGTGTAGCCTGTTAGTGTTACCACAATGTGGCCGTCTATCCTCAATGGCCTACCCAAGTTTAACCCCTGTTCATTTCAAATGAACATTACTCTTTTGGTCGTGCAGTTGTTTGTTAGAACATTTTATCGGGTCGGTGTCTCGACCTGAAAGACCAAACGACCAGACGCCCTCAGTGGCAGTCTGTATTGACCAATCAATCGCCGAGTTGTGAGCATGCGTGCTGCGGTTTCTTTTCCCAGTCCAAATACAGACTCGTACTCGCAAACTGAAGTCGAGTTTGATTTACTCCTCGATGGGGCTCTGTTGCTATAGTGAGTGAATTATAATACAGAAAGCCTTTTTTAGAGGTCTAGGGGTCAAGGTTGGGACAGTGGCTAGGTCATGGTTAGGAAATCTGTTAATATATCAAAATTGTATCCAAACAAAAACAAGGTTTGTTTTAAAAGCTGTGTTTCTTCCGACAGTAAATGATATTCGTGCTGCTCAAAAATCATTTGAATGACGAACAATTCGCTAGGAAGGAAGACATTTCATTGAATCACTGATTGAGTAAACGTCAGGGAAAGGGGTTTTTTACCTCCAAATAAATGGAATTTCATACTGAATATCACTCATACACACACTCATCGATCTTCACATGTGAACTTAAAAAAAAAACGACTATTATACCCTTTTCACGTTTATAGGTCAAAAATGGTATGACTCCAGCCGTCCTACGGACACACGAGAAATGTCAAGTATGCGCTTGAATTTATTGTGCGATGAAAAGTTGTCTTTCTGCAGGCTTTATTTATCCAAGGGTTCCATTTTTTTTTTAATTTACGATGAATCGAAGAAGAATTTTTACCCGCTGAACTTGTATGAGAGGCTGTAAAAACAGTGGTGATGTACGACATGGGTAGATGATAACTCAGTTCATCTGTTAGCTTGAGTATGTAAACACCGGCAATCGTGGACCTAGGACAGAAGGGTTAGGGTACAAACAACACGTCCACGATTGACCGAACGTCCACGATTGAAATTCATGTACAAAACCAATGAGAGCTGTTGCTAAAAAGTAAGAGTACAAACAAAGGAATGAGGATAAGGGACAATAGGGGTCCACTATTGCCGGTGTTTACAAAGATGTCCAAGTTTGGATGCGTGTGGTTTGGGTTTAAAGTCTTGTTCCTAGCCTCCTTGCTTCATTTATACTTCTTGATGGAAATTCTCTAAAGCTTATAGCCGAACGAATATATTAAGGTATTGAGAAGGACCATACCAACATGAAAATTGTCAAATAAATCAGAAAAGCCGCATTCTCTTATAGTGATCCCCGTTTGCCATTTCCCGGGTTTGCAGCATTGCTCATGTTGCCTTGCATCGTGTTTTTAGGCGTGATCCCTAGCTACTTGCCATATACGGGTTTATGGCATCGGACTAGAGGCCCATGAACAAACACATTGCCATGATTGGGAACCGCCGACATAGGGCTGGATAGCTCAGTTGGTAGAGCACCTGAACGGTATTCCGGAGGTCGCAGGTTCAAATTTTGCTCTGTCAATTTCTTTGTAAAACTTTATTTACGTGTAATTGTTTCAAAATTTAAATTAACATTTTCCCACTCAACATTCTATCATACAGGTCATCGATTACGTACACACTGATAAATCAGACTGTGGTCAATTTGTTAAGACGCATTCACTACTAGCAAGCAAGCGGTTGCGGGTTCGAGTCCCAACCGAGTAAGCTGGTTCATTTTCATTTTCTCTCTGAGCGCTCCGATGCCGTACTGATTATACAATGTTAAGAGAAAACAAATATACACTGGTGAAGGCAACAATATTAAAATATATGCATTTTATGCAGGTTTTGGCCGATTCCATAATACATGTATTTAAAAGCTAAGCATGTCTAGGTAGCGTTGTTATCTTCGGATTCGAACAAAATCTGTCGGTTTGGGAAAACTGAGGGACTTTACCATAATTAGTTAAAAGACAAACTGCGCTGAAGACGAAGTACCGTGTGTTTATGGAGCACATTTCCCCTTTCAGAGACATGTTACTGTCATGCTGGCTCATTGTGTACCTGGGGGCAACGATGTCTCACTCCTCCTATGTCTCATCGCAGCACAGGAGCTATTAGCATTAAACTGTTACTGAATCGATGACAGGCGTGTGTGAGATATTCGGCGGTTGATTTGAGATGATCCGAAGTGTGTGTGTGTTGGGGGGAAGAGGTGGCCCCACGAACGGACGCCAATGATGATATTATTGCCTCTAGACCCAGCCCAGCCGTCAGCATGCCAAATACCGAGCCGCTATTCAAATGGATGCGGGATATCGATCGATGGCTGATGTAGCGGTAGCTAGCACGGTGGCTTTCCTCAGTTTATGGGGTTCTTTCTCTTCGGTCGTACATCGGCTAGGTCCCGTGTCGATACAAATGTGGGAGCGTGTTCCCTCAAGTTTTTTTTTTTTGGGGGGGGGGGGTTAGAGCTCTGTCGCACGGGGCTGTGTGAACGTTTAGAGAGCTAACTCGTCCTCGTGTTGGTCCGCCTACCAAGTACCATGCATACACACAAAACATCTCAATCGGGGATGCGAAACATGCAGTCTGTGTATACCTGGAAAGAGAGAGAGTTCAGCTTTTGACAAGGCAAGACTCTTAATTCTTGCTTGTCGTGATTTCCCACATAAAAAATTCTCATTCTTGTGATTGTGTACCTAAGGCTGTGTGCCGATGTATCTTAGCTTCAGGTGAACACACCGTTCAGACAAAGACGGGGGACGTCTGGCAAACATAACTCGCCGGTGCGATCTGCCCGATCGTCGGCGGCTGAAGGCACACGTGCTCCGGTGTCAATCCTACCGACCGGGCCATCTCTAGACCAACGCTTCTCATATTTAAATTTCAATCGAGACATACTCCAAAGCAAACACTGAGACGACAAGTTATTCAAGATGAGGTTTTTTTTACTGCTTTAATAAATGCATCATCGGTTTATTTCGACTGCAGATAAGTTGGTTTACAAAGGCTACCACGCGACCCTGACACATGGTGATATATATTTTAGAGTTGGGTGTAAATCTTGGAAATTGAAGAACTGTTGAAACTTGCAGCAGTTGCGCCTCCATATTTGAAACCATCGACCTTATTCATAAGGCGACCATTTCATATCGTGCTCCCCAAATCATTTTTTTTATATAGGGTTGCAGACTAGTAAACAAACTACCATAAATACGCCCACTTCCATAAATTACGAAAAATACTCACAACTCTCCAAGGTATTTGACACACACACATTAAAGCTTATTTCATCATCTTTCATTTCTGTTCAACTTTTTTCAATAACTTTTGAGAGAAAATTCCATCCAAAGATGATCACCCTAAAAGAAGTCCTGAAGCCCATCGCCATTTTGAAAAAGGATGCCTACGCTCCATTGCAAAATAGAGCAGTTGATAGGCCCAATTTCATCTAAATATCACAGCAATACGAGCTTGCAGACCTGTTCATGGATTTCACC